CATCCACCAATCGCAGCTCAAAACGATGCAGCCCGGACTTCGAACAATTCAATCGGATGTGGTATGAAAATGTATGCACTCACTAACTGTAAGTTGCTCTGGATAAGAGCGTCTGCTAAATGACTAAAATGTAAATGTAAAATGTAATGTGGTAACTCAAAGGCTCCAGCTAAAATGGGGAGAGTACACCACAGATTGGGTATTTTGTAGCTTAACTTCAAGTGATGGTTACAAGGCCATGTAACAGAAGTCAAATGTGAACAGAAAGTATAAAGTAAAAAAAATATTAATTTAAGTTTTAAACCAACATTCCAAATGATAAACAGGCAGTGTTATTCTTTCATAGCATCCTCAGTCTTGTCAGTTGGATAAGACACCAACCAGGATTTAGTTAATTTTGTCACGCCCTGACTCAGGGGACGGTTATTTGTTGAGTCAGGGTGTGTATATTTCGTGTTGTGTTTATTTCTATGTTTAGTTTCTAGATCGTTTAGATCTATGTTGGCCAGGGTGGTTCCCAATCAGAGGCAGCTGTAGCTCGTTGTCTCTGATTGGGGACCATACTTAGGCAGCCTTTTGGCACCAGTCTGTGTGGGATCTTGTTCCGTGTGAGGTATGTTATTTTGTCTACCTCGGACTTCATGTTTCGTTTGTTGTTTTGTCGTGTGTTCAGTACGGAAATAAATATGAATACATATCACGCTGCGCCTTGGTCCTTCTCGTTAATGAGCGATCGTGACAAATTTGGTTTTCAATCCAAGTTCATCACATTTTGCTAACAATGTTATTCAATCAAAATGGTATACTTTACAATGTTTCAAAATGAATTGATCTTGACTTCATGTCATATATGAATTAGAGTTCTGATATGCCTTTTCCATATGCCTTTTCTCCATTTACCTGACAGTAAAAAAAAGCTGATTAAAACTGATTGCCAGTACCTCTTATTTTATATTTAGTATGTAATAAATACATCTTTGTTGCTGAGACAGTCTTTTAGGATAATCCAATGTGGAGTCTCACAGTATGTCATTCGGTATAACGATGCCACAGTCAGACTGTGTAACGCAGGTTTTAGTTTTGTCAAGCTGAGGATACAATAACAATCTTTACTCCTTTACAGAAAAACCTTTTTAGAAATTTTCCAGCTTTTTTCACTTTTGAGCATGAAATTGTGGGTGCTAAAATCAACAAATGAGCTCATGTTAGTAGAAAAGCAATTTTGATTTTCAAAGCAGTACATGTTTGTTGAGATCAAACCATTACTATCTATAGACAGCTAAATGCTAACACTGGTAAATAAACAAATAATTTGAAAAAGCCATTATCGCTACACCGAATGACATGCATTTAATTCTCGGTGACTAAAACTTGTTGAAATATATATACAATACTAATGAAGGTAGAAATAACTTAATTAGCATTTTTAACACATTTATTTTCTTCCCATTTTGAAATCCTTATTCGTCATTGACCCTGGGTGATGTACATGCTTTACTTCTTTGCTATCAAAGTTTCCATTGTTCAGAAGCACTGAATCCTAAAAAAAGTAGCTTCCACTACCCAATGCCCCAATCCATCCTCCACCCTTTACATTCCTCCCTCCTCCACCACTACCTCCAACACAGGAGGCTGCTGAGGGGAGGACAGCTTATAATAATGTCTGAAATGGAGTGAATGGAATGCTATCAAACGCATGGAAACCATTGTTTGATGAGTTCGATACCATTCCATTAATTCCGTTGCAGCCATTACTATGAGTCCGTCCTCTCCAATTAAGGTTTCACCAACCTCCTGTGACCTCCAAACCTCATATTCCACCACTGTCTGCAGGAAGTCATCCTCTCTCATCCTCTCTCCCTGCTTCCTCATGCAAATCTCCCACCAGGCTTTTGCTTAACTGCTGTGGTCCCCAGAGGCCCTCCTCTGGTAGAGGAGATGGAGTGGTACGTGGAAGATAAGATGTCAGAGGAAGTGCTGTCAGAGCTCTGCATCAGCCATCAAAGGTGCATCATCATGACACAGCATGAATAGCCAAATCATCACACTAACTAATCATACGATACATTGTGGTCATGCCCAAACCCCAAGCCCTTGACCTGTAGTCCAGTAACACATTGGCACCAAAGCTTAATCCAAGAACATCTGGTCTGTGGGCACACAACTCTCACACGCATGTAGGTCCATACACAGACACACACATGAACATAAACATAACAATGCTCACACAGCTATAAGTACAGTCGTGGTCAAAAGTTTTGAGAATGACACAAGTATTGGTCTTCACAAAGTTTGCTGCTTCAGTGTTTTTAGATATTTTTGTCAGATGTTACTATGGTATACTGAAGTATAATTACAAGCATTCCATAAGTGACAAAGGCTTTTATTGACAATTACATTACGTTTATGCAAAGAGTCAATATTTGCACTGTTGACCCTTCTTTTTCAAGACCTCTGCAAACCGCCCTGGCATGCTGTCAATTAACTTCTGGGCCACATCCTGACTGATGGCAGCCCATTCTTTCATAATCAATGCTTGGAGTTTGTCAGAATTTGTGGGTTTTTGTTTGTCCACCCGCCTCTTGAGGATTGACCACAAGTTCTCAATGGGATTAAGGTCTGGGGAGTTTCCTGGCCATGGACCCAAAATTTCAATGTTTTGTTCCCCGAGCCACTTAGTTATCACTTTTGCCTTATGGCAAGGTGCTCCATCATGCTGGAAAAGGCTTTGTTCGTCACCAAACTGTTCTTGGATGGTTGGGAGAAGTTGCTCTCGGAGAATGTGTTGGTACCATTCTTTATTCATGGCTGTGTTCTTAGGCAAAATTGTGAGTGAGACCACTCCCTTGGCTGAGAAGCAACCCCACACATGAATTGTCTCAGGATGCTTTACTGTTGGCATGACACAGGACTGATGGTAGCGCTCACCTTGTCTTCTCCAGACAAGCTTTTTTCCGGATGCCCCAAACAATCGGAAAGGGGATTCGTCGGAGAAAATGACTTTACCCCAGTCCTCAGCAGTCCAATCCCTGTACCTTTTGCAGAATATCAGTCTGTCCCTGATGTTTTTCCTGGAGAGAAGTGGCTTCCGCGCTGCCCTTCTTGACACCAGGCCATCCTCCAAAAGTCTTTGCCTCACTGTGCGTGCAGATGCACTCACACCTGCCTGCTGCCATTCCTGAGCAAGCTCTGCACTGGTGGTGCCCCGATCCCGCAGCTGAATCAACTTTAGGAGACGGTCCTGGCGCTTGCTGGACTTTCTTGGGCGCCCTGAAGCCTTCTTCACAACAATTGAACCTCTCTCCTTGAAGTTCTTGATGATCCGATAAATGGTTGATTTAGGTGCAATCTTACTAGCAGCAATATCCTTGCCTATGAAGCCCTTTTTGTGCAAAGCAATGATTACGGCACGTGTTTCCTTGCAGGTAACCATGGTTAACAGAGGAAGAACAATGATTTCAAGCACCACCCTCCTTTTAAAGCTTCCAGTCTGTTATTCTAACTCAATCAGCATGACAGAGTGATCTCCAGCCTTGTCCTCGTCAACACTCTCACCTGTGTTAACGAGAGAATCACTGACATGATGTCAGCTGGTCCTTTTGTGGCAGGGCTGAAATGCAGTGGAAATGTTTTTTTGGGGATTAAGTTCATTTTCATGGCAAAGAGGGACTTTGCAATTAATTGCAATTCATCAAATCACTCTTCATAACATTCTGGAGTATATGCAAATTGCCATCATAAAAACTGAGGCAGCAGACTTTGTGAAAATAAATATTTGTGTCATTCTCAAAACTTTTGACCACGACTGCACGACTGTACATGCGCACACATGCACACACACACACACACACACACACACACACACACACACACACACACACACACACACACACACACACACACACACACACACACACACACAGCTGAGTGATGACATTGTATGTCCACGGACACACAGTTATTAACTTCACATCTTGGCCGGAAATGTAATGTATAGAGGAGTTCTTATATCCTGAAATGTCCTTGGCTGTAGGAGATACTGTTGCCCACACAATTGAATATTTTTCCCACTACTTATCCATATGGGAGAGTGACTATTATATATAGCCTATGATAACATATGATATGAAACTGTTGATATGGAGACTGTTGTCTTCCAAACCATAGAATAGGTTATACACCACCCTATCAGAGAAAATACCAAGGCTACACACTTAGAAACAAAGGGGCTATCTGGAACCTATAAGGGTTCTTCAGCTGTCCCCATAGGAGAACCCTTTTTGGTTCCAGGTAGAACTCTTTTGGGTTCCAGGTAGAACTCTTTTGGGTTCCATGTAAAACCCTTTCCACAGAGGGTTTTACATGAAACCCAAAAGGGTTCTACCTGAAACCAAATAACCCTTTCTGAACCTTTTTTTCTGAGTGTATGTTGATAAATGTGTTTGTTTGTCTTCATATGTTTTGTCACTTTGTATGTTGCATATTGTAAGTGCTTGATGCATTTATGCAGGGCTCATCTGTAAAAGAGACCCTAGTCTCAGTATGACTTCCCTGTCAAAATCAAGGTTTAATATATATATATATATTAGGTTAGCAGGTGTTATGGCAGGTGCAATCAATGCAGTAAATGTCAAACAAGCACACAATAACCAACAATTCAAAGATAATCCAAAAGTTATATTTTCTGAGCAGTTGTTTGCTCTTTACAGATAGACCTGTAGCCTATCTAGCCAACTGTAGAACTCCATGTTGGGATATCTCAAAACTATGCCTGTATGTAAGTGCAGTCTGGTTTAAAAGCATCGTCGTTCGATATCGTGTGTAATTTTCTTTGCCACGGATTTAGGCCTAGCTACAGCAAATATTGACGGTACACCAACAAATACACAGTGTAATGTAATGATTAACTTTCTAACAATATGTGATCTTTGCTTCTCTCATGCGCAGGTTGTCTCAAGCCCACATTATTGCTGCGATATGGTTGGTTACCCAAGAATTCTGTAGCTACCTGTCACTACTGGTCGAGGTCAACATGAAAGTGAAAGCAGTGAAATCCCCAGACTGGTATGCCTTGTCACCGCTCCAGACGGTAAAAAGTGTTGCTCAGGTGAGTGAGGCTATATTCTTTTGAAATTTGAAAGGGTGTATGCTTATGAGAAACATTTGTCTGTATGTCTGTAATGTTTTCCCCTACAGCAAATAGGAGCAGGGGATTATGCTGAGGCAGATTGTTTTTACAGACTAGGTTTCATGCATAATTGGGGCATTTGTCATACAATTGAACTCTTTAGCCTCTGCATGCTAAGTATTGCTCTGAAAATGGTGATGAATGTACTGTAGGGCTGTGCAGAGACATACTTCAATAGATAAGAAACTGCTCTTTAAATTTTTACAGGCAAGTTTTAACATGTTACTGCAGCTATCAACAAATAAGCTGTCTCTCTCATGGAAACTTAAGTGGAGAGGATGTTTATTCATCAACAGTGTTGGGGAGTAGTGAACTATTGTACATTTAGTTTAACTAGTCATTTAATTACATTTAGCAGTGGCTTGGTGGTAGTTGAACTAAATTCAAATCTTGGTAGTGTTTTCAGTAGTATTCTGCTAATGTTTTTACATTTTTGCCATTTAGTGGTATAGCTAACTACTGGAACTACACACTACTTTTATTTGCAAAAATAATAATAAAATATGTGTGAAGTAGGCAAGAATGTCCTTTCTTTTTTGTAATCAAACCTGCCTAATTCTCACTTGAAACACTTGTGTGTGTGCCTAATTCTCAATTTTTGTTTTTAATAGGTTTAATTACACATTCTGTTGACATCTGACTCCAGAGTGATCTGTTCTTGCATTTTGTAGTCAATGACATTTCAGATTTAGATATGGTAATTTTTCACAAAGTAGTTTGGATGTAGTTAACTACTTTTTCTAAGTAACTTCAGTTAAGTAAGCTATATTTTTCTTAAGGGTAGCTTTAGTGTAGCTTAACTTCTTCCAGTGTGAAGTAATTGGTAGCTTGGTAAACTATACAGTGGGGGAAAAAAGTATTTAGTCAGCCACCAATTGTGCAAGTTCTCCCACTTAAAAAGATGAGAGAGGCCTGTAATTTATATCATAGGTACACATCAACTATGAAAGACAAAATGAGAAAAATAATCCAGAAAATCACATTGTAGGATTTTTTATGAATTTATTTGCAAATTATGGTGTAAAATAAGTATTTGGTCAATAACAAAAGTTTCTCAATACTTTGTTATATACCCTTTGTTGGCAATGACACAGGTCAAACGTTTTCTGTAAGTCTTCACAAGGTTTTCACACACTGTTGCTGGTATTTTGGCCCATTCCTCCATGCAGATCTCCTCTAGAGCAGTGATGTTTTGGGGCTGTCGCTGGGCAACACAGACTTTCAACTCCCTCCAAAGATTTTCTATAGGGTTGAGATCTGGAGACTGGCTAGGCCACTCCAGGACCTTGAAATGCTTCTTACGAAGCCACTCCTTCGTTGCCCGGGCGGTGTGTTTGGGATCATTGACATGCTGAAAGACCCAGCCACGTTTCATCTTCAATGCCCTTGCTGATGGAAGGAGGTTTTCACTCAAAATCTCACGATACATGGCCCCATTCATTCTTTCCTTTACACGGATCAGTCGTCCTGGTCCCTTTGCAGAAAAACAGCCCCAAAGCATGATGTTTCCACCCCCATGCTTCACAGTAGGTATGGTGTTCTTTGGATGCAACTCAGCATTCTTTGTCCTCCAAACACGACGAGTTGAGTTTTTACCAAAAAGTTCTATTTTGGTTTCATCTGACCATATGACATTCTCCCAATCCTCGTCTGGATCATCCAAATGCATTCTAGCAAACTTCAGACGGGCCTGGACATGTACTGGCTTAAGCAGGGGGACACGTCTGGCACTGCAGGATTTGAGTCTCTGGCGGCGTAGTGTGTTACTGATGGTAGGCTTTGTTACTTTGGTCCCAGCTCTCTGCAGGTCATTCACTAGGTCCCCCCGTGTGGTTCTGGGATTTTTGCTCACCGTTCTTGTGATCATTTTGACCCCACGGGGTGAGATCTTGCGTGGAGCCCCAGATCGAGGGAGATTATCAGTGGTCTTGTATGTCTTCCATTTCCTAATAATTGCTCCCACAGTTGATGTCTTCAAACCAAGCTGCTTACCTATTGCAGATTCAGTCTTCCCAGCCTGGTGCAGGTCTACAATTTTGTTTCTGGTGTCCTTTGACAGCTCTTTGGTCTTGGCCATAGTGGAGTTTGGAGTGTGACTGTTTGAGGTTGTGGACAGGTGTCTTTTATACTGATAACAAGTTCGAACAGGTGCCATTAATACAGGTAACGAGTGGAGGACAGAGGAGCCTCTTAAAGAAAAAGTTACAGGTCTGTGAGAGCCAGAAATCTTGCTTGTTTGTAGGTGACCAAATACTTATTTTCCACCATATAATTTGCAAATAAATTCATTAAAAATCCTACAATGTGATTTTCTGGAGAAAAAAAATCTCATTTTGTCAGTCATAATTGACGTGTACCTATGATGAAAATTACAGGCCTCTCTCATCTTTTTAAGTGGGAGAACTTGCACAATTGGTGGCTGACTAAATACTTTTTTCCCCCACTGTATTTTCAGAGTAGCTTCCCCAACACTGCAAATCAATTAGGGGGTACCTTGGTTAAATGACCACACTCGTACCTTAAAAAGTGAACTTAGAACTTAGGCTGAACATAAATGGAAGGCCTGCAAACTTCAAATATTCTATGAGATAATGAAGGATCTGATGAGGAACTACAATGTTGCGGTTAAAGATGCAAGAGTGAAAGTTGTTTTCAAGCAATTGGTGGCTTATTTGAGTATGAACAACTTATTTGGTGAATGCTCTATCCTAGTTCTTTTGGATCTCAGTGACGCGTTTGATACTATCGATCATAACATTCTTGTCTACCGGCTGGAGAGGTGGGTGGGAATCTATAGCATTGCCCTCGATTGGTTCAGATCATATTTATGTGACAGACGTTTCTCAGTGAGCATGGGTGGTTCAGTATCATCCCCAGCACCTATTCACTATGGTGTCCCTCAGGGTGTCAATTCTGGGCCCCATCCTTTTTTCCCTGTACATACAGTGGGGAAAAAAAGTATTTAGTCAGCCACCAATTGTGCAAGTTCTCCCACTTAAAAAGATGAGAGAGGCCTGTAATTTTCATCATAGGTACACGTCAAATATGAGAGACAAATTGAGGAAAAAAATTCCAGAAAATCACATTGTAGGATTTTTAAGGAATTTATTTGCAAATTATGGTGGAAAATAAATATTTGGTCACCTACAAACAAGCAAGATTTCTGGCTCTCACAGACCTGTAACTTCTTCTTTAAGAGGCTCCTCTGTCCTCCACTCGTTACCTGTATTAATGGCACCTGTTTGAACTTGTTATCAGTATAAAAGACACCTGTCCACAACCTCAAACAGTCACACTCCAAACTCCACTATGGCCAAGACCAAAGAGCTGTCAAAGGACACCAGAAACAAAAGTGTAGACCTGCACCAGGCTGGGAAGACTGAATCTGCAATAGGTAAGCAGCTTGGTTTGAAGAAATCAACTGTGGGAGCAATTATTAGGAAATGGAAGGCATACAAGACCACTGATAATCTCCCTCGATCTGGGGCTCCACGCAAAATCTCACCCCGTGGGGTCAAAATGATCACAAGACCGGTGAGCAAAAATCCCAGAACCACACGGGGGGACCTAGTGAATGACCTGCAGAGAGCTGGGACCAAAGTAACAAAGCCTACCATCAGTAACACACTACGCCGCCAGGGACTTAAATCCTGCAGTGCCAGACGTGTCCCCCTGCTTAAGCCAGTACATGTCCAGGCCCGTGCTAGAGTGCATTTGGATGATCCAGAAGAGGATTGGGAGAATGTCATATGGTCAGATGAAACCAAAATATAACTTTTTGGTAAAAACTCAACTCGTCGTGTTTGGAGGACAAAGAATGCTGAGTTGCATCCAAAGAACACCATACCTACTGTGAAGCATGGGGGTGGAAACATCATGCTTTGGGGCTGTTTTTCTGCAAAGGGACCAGGACGACTGATCCGTGTAAAGGAAAGAATGAATGGGGCCATGTATCGTGAGATTTTGAGTGAAAACCTCCTTCCATCAGCAAGGGCATTGAAGATGAAACGTGGCTGGGTCTTTCAGTATGACAATGATCCCAAACACACCGCCCGGGCAACGAAGGAGTGGCTTCGTAAGAAGCATTTCAAGGTCCTGGAATGGCCTAGCCAGTCTCCAGATCTCAACCCCATAGAAAATCTTTGGAGGGAGTTGAAAGTCCGTGTTGCCCAGCGACAGCCCCAAAACATCACGCTCTAGAGGAGATCTGCATGGAGAAAGGGCCAAAATACCGTGTGTGAAAACCTTGTGAAGACTTACAGAAAACGTTTGACCTGTGTCATTGCCAACAAAGGGTATATAACAAAGTATTGAGAAACTTTTGTTATTGACCAAATACTTATTTTCCACCATAATTTGCAAATAAATTCATAAAAAATCCTACAATGTGATTTTCTGGATTTTTTTCCATCATTTTGTCTGTCATAGTTGACGTGTACCTATGATGAAAATTACAGGCCTCTCTCATCTTTTTAAGTGGGAGAACATTCACAATTGGTGGCTGACTAAATACTTTTTTTCCCCACTGTATATCCCCTTGGTGACATCATTTGCAATCACAAAATTCTGTTTCACTGCTATGCGGATGACACACAGCTTTATTTACCAATCAGACCCAGTGATCAAGCTAACGTAGCTACCCTTCACAAGTGTCTTGCTGATATTGTATGTTGGATGTCTGACAATTTCCTCCAGCTCAATGACTAGAACCCAGACTGAGAATAACCTTGGTCCTTTGTCCACCAATGTAAAGCCTATGGCCAGAAACCTTCTTCAACCCTAATCTTAATCTTGTTGTATGTAAAGATGATTGTCCAGTCCAGTTTTTTTTTGTGTATACATATTTTTTGGTTACTCCTTTTCACCCCAATTTCGTGGTATCCAATTGGTAGTTACAGTCTTGTCCCATCGCTGCAACTCCCGTATGGACACGGGAGAGGCGAAGGTCGAGAGCCGTGCGTCCTCCGAAACACAACCCAACCGAGCCGCACTGCTTCTTGACACAATGTCCGCAACCCAGAAGCCAGCCGCACCAATGTGTTGGAGGAAACGCTGTACACCTGGCGACCGTGTCAGCATGCACTGCGCCCAGCCCGCCACAGGAGTCGCTAGTGCGCAATGGGACAAGAACATCCCTGCCGGCCAAACCCTCCCCTAACCTGGACGACGCCGGGCCAATTGTGCACCGCCCTATGTGTCTCCCGGTCGCGGCCGGCTGCGACAGAACCTGGACTCGAACCAGGATCTCTAGTGGCACATCGCAGTGCCTTAGACCACTGAGCCACTTGGAAGGCCCCAGTCCTGCTTTTATCATCTTAGAAATATAGCCAAAGTCAAGTATTTTATTTCAGTCACTGATCTGGAGAAAGTTATGCATGAATTTATTTCCTCACGCCTAGATTACTGTAACTCTTTGTATACATGTCTTAGTCAGAAATCATTCTGTCTACATATAGTTCAAAATGCTGCAGCTTGGCTTTTAACAGGTACCAGAAAATGTACCCATGTCACACCTATTTTAGCTTCTCTACTGTACACTGGCTACCAATCACTTTTAGAATTGATTTTTAAATTGTATTAATCACGTTTAAGGCTCGGTTTATGAGCCAGGACGCAGCATGATATCCTCTTGCAATGCACTGTTGGCCATTCCAAAGTTGAAAACTAAAGGAGACCGGGCATTTGCCATTAGGGCCCCTAGATTTTGAATGGTCTGCCAGAGGAGATCAGGCTTGCGGATTCAGTGCCCCTTTTAAATCCCTACTGAAGGCACACTTTTATAAAAATCCATTCTTAGCAGTGACCTGTGACTTGTTTGTCCCTGGCCTAGCGGCATATTAGAATATAATACTCCCTACATAGTAATTACAGGTTGTACACAAATTAATGTATCTACATATGATTCTTACGCAATGTAGGAATGCTACCCTTATTTTTAACTTGAGGTACTTCGCCAGGTTGGGTTGGTTACCGTGACGACACACCCTGTCCCTCTTACCTTCAAGAGAAAATGGCATGTTGTCTGTGAACAGAAGCTGTTCCTGCTGACTGTGAAGACAGGCACCAAAAGCTACAGGCACTTTTAAAAACACGTTCCACAAACACCTCCTTGCCTGACACAAGCAATTGATTTTCTAGAGACAATCTTCATCTTTCCCCTACCATTTTATTTTAGTAACCAGGGACATTCGATGCCAAGCGGTTATCAGATGGCAGAGATTGGGGAACCTGGGGACATGGAGGAGGTGAATGAAGCTCGGGGTCTAGAGGAGGACAGATCCTCCCTCAAATCCACCATGGAGAGGAACGGGAAGACCCAACCCAACGGCCCGGTGAAGGACAAGAAACTGGGGATGATTAAGCAATTTAGGGAGAGCATGAAGCAGGTTGGAGAGAAGAGTCCTCTGTTTTCAAACAGCAAAGGGTCAAAGGACAGACCCAATTCAGACCAGGGGGGACACAGTATTGAACCTGAAGTGACATCTCTGACCCATCAGCTGCCACCCCCTCCCTCACCAAGTAAGTTTTCCTTAGGTTTGTCCCTCTGTCAAATTAAGTGAGTTATGAAATATGCTCTTGAGTCAAGAAATGGCTTCCCAAGGTCATGGGAAGAGGAAGTCTCAGGACACACAGAATGACAGTATAAATGACAGGAAGGACTCTCTTATGCACTGTATTGAGGACTTGTATCTATTTTCAGCCTGACATAGCCAGACTGAGCAGGGAGTTTTCCTCATTACTCAATAACTGACATTCCTATCTTAATTAAGTTAATGCTCAACTCAGAAAACAGCTCCCAACCAAGCAGGATATACATTAACATAACTAACCTTTGTACAATAACAAATCTGACAGAACCTGCTTAACCAGTTGCCAACGTAGGTTGACTTTTTCTGTGTTTGTGTGTGTGTTTGTGTGTGTGACTGTGCGACTGTCCGTTTGTTTGTTTGTTTGTTTGTGTGTGTGTACGGTCAGCACACCCACTATTACACTGCAAATTAGTTAAATTACTACCGGTATTCAATGTCAAAGAGATCAGCAACTCTCTCTCTCTCTCTCAGGTTTGAGTGCTGGGTCTCCTGTGGCCTCTCCCCTGAAGAGTCCGGGTGGGTTCTTCCAAAGGAAGGAGGGAGGAGAGAGTGCAAAAGATTCACCACCATCCCAGAAGAAACACTCCAGATCACACTCGGGTACACCGCTGTTTACCCAACCAACCAGTCAATGGTTGTTTTTAGAGGCTGTTTGCAGTATTTTTTTCACTGACAGAATTCTAGAGAGCTTTGTAAGGTCTTCATAATCTGATCTCCGTATTGGCCATCTATAGACTCATCAGCCATTGGGGACTCTCTTCTGAAGAAGGGGGCTTCCATCCGACGGAGTTTGCGACTTGTGGGGAATAAGAAGGACAAGACCCTCAAACAGGTGCGGCTCCCGTCTGTCACTGAGATCACAGTGGAGGAGAAGCGAGAGAGGGAGAAGGAGAGCATAGAGATCAAAGAGTCATACATACTCCCAGAGATACCCCTCACACCCCTCTCAGGTGAGGCTCCCTCTCTCACTCTCTCACTCACTCACTCACTCACTCCCTCCCACTCACTCACTCACTCACTCACTCACTCACTCACTTTGATTTGTCTCATCCATCTTTCTTTGTTTTAGCAACAGAGATCACAAAGAGATCTTATCTGTGATGTAAATTTACATTTACATTTTAGTCATTACATGAGCAATTGGGGTTAAGTGCCTTGCTCAAGGGCACATCGACAAATTTTTCACCTAGTCGGCTCGGGGATTAGAACCAGCGACCTTTCGGTTACTGGCACAACGCTCTTAACCACTAAGCTACCTGCCGCCTAAATCACTACGCTTGTGTTTGTGCAGTATGTGTGTATTAGGTATAACAGCCTAGATAACAAAGTTGTCTGCTCTTCCTCTCCAGTGATGCAGATCAACGAGCTGATTAAGACTGAGGTGCTGGAGGAGGCCCACCTGAATCTCCTCTCCCTACGCCAGGAGTTCCAGCGGGAGAGGGAGGAGTGCACGGAGGAGGCCTCCCCCATGGAGCTGGCCAAGAAGGAGAAGGATCTGAGCATCCTTTACAGAGCCATGCAGGAAAAGGTGAAGGAGACAGTGCGCGACTCCAACAGCCTTTCCTCCCGCAACAAGGAGCTCCTGATGCATGTGGCCCGCATCATCCAGGAGGAGGAGAAGAGGGAGGCAGAGCCCGGGGGCGTGGTTGGGCCTGGGGACTGGCGGGGTGCCTGGAGGGAGGCGGTGAGTTTGGGGGTCAAGGCAACGTTGATGAGAGTTAATCTGGACAGGCCCGAGCAGAATGCCTCCTGGCTGGCTATCCACCTGGGTCTGCTGGGCAAGGCCATCGTAGAGGACTTGGAGAAGGTGAAGGGAGAGCTGCAGGGCTCTTACCCACCCAGCTTCAACGTGTTCAGCACCTACATGAGCTGTTACCATGGTGCTGTCAGCCAGCACCTGAACATGCTTCAGCAGCAGGTGACAGATCTGAAGGACTACTACACCCTGCTGGACTGGATCATCAATCGCTATGAGAGGTGAGGAAGGCTAAAAGTAATTGTCTTGACAAATACATACAGTATATAAACAAAATGTTTTCTATGACTCAAAATGATGAGTATTATTTTATCTGAGAGACACCATCCCTGTTGAACAGTGAGAAGATAATGACCAGTCCTTCATTGAGACCAGAGATGGAGGCTGAGAACACAGGCCTCTCCCTGGAGGAGGGCTTCCTGGACCAGCTCAAAGCGAAATACTGCATGCGGGCTAAGGTAAGGGATTGAGCACTCCACTAAGAGACAGATGGAAAGATGTTTAGGAAGAATTTAGATTGAAAGCAGGTACCACACTAGAAGAGTTTACAAACAATTGTGTTATTTTGCCCATCAGGCCTTTAGCCTTTATTATTATTTTGCTTTACATATCTTTTCCAGGAGGACATGAGAGCTTCGCTGGATAAAATATTAGAGCTTGAAAACGAGGACATTTGGATAAAGAAACAGGCACCTGAGACTGATGATGAACACTTCTTCAACTCTGACATACACATGGATATTTGGACGGTATTGTTTTGTCATTATTTCATATAATGCAATAGCATCATATCTCCATTAGAGGGCAACATTGCCTACTTAGTTACATTTTCATTGTAGTGACAGGCACCTTTTCCTGCATGGTCCTCTGTAGCTCAGCTGGTAGAGCATGGTGCTTGTAACGCCAAGGTAGTGGGTTCGATCCCCGGGACCACCCATTCACACAAAAAATGTATGCATGCATGACTGTAAGTCGTTTTGGATAAAAGCGTCTGCTAAATGGCATATTATTATTATTACAGGCTACTAAGGCTACTATTGAGTTGAAACTGATGTTGTTTTCTTTGTAGAAAGTTGAGAGCAATGCTGTTAACTCCAAGAGGATTGATGCGAACCTGGAGATGAGAGTAGTCTGTTCCTGTCTGGAAGAGTTACAGAAGTTTCCCAAACAGTATGCTCTGCAACAGTCCAAAGTCTGCTCTTTCTATCTCTATCCTAACCATTATTCACTGGAAAAACAAAACAAAACCGGACCTTCTCCTTTGCTTGTTAATAACCCCATAGCTTATATATGTTTTATTATCTCTCCTTCACTCTCTCTCCATCTTCATAGATTTGAGACCAAATTAAGGTGCTGCTGTAACAGTGTGGAAAACTCTTCACTTTGGGCTGACTATCAGATAACTTACATCAACAGCTTTACAGCTCTTAAGTAAGTCTGACTCCTCTCTTCATTACATCCGGTCAACAACCCTCCTTATTTCCTCCACCCTCAATGTAGACTAGAATGTCCTGAACAACAGTTGCCAGGCAGTCAGTTCAGCTTGCCAGACACTTTGGGGTACATTCACCAAAGGAAGGTGTGAATTTAAAAAGAAATGCTGCCTAAAAGATTGAACTGAGAACAGAAGTCTTGGATTAGAAGTACAGTCTAAGTAACAATTAGTTTAATACTATCTCAGTGATTTGATGCACATTTTTTGTTTGGACTAGAGCAACCATATTTTAGTGGCATAATGTCATGCATTTAGGTAAAAGTTTAACTTCACTCTGTCTGATTTGAAGTTGCCACTCATACAACAGAAGTGTGATGAAAAACTGGGACGATGAAACGACTATAAGAGAGTATTTATTTCATGTGCATTTTCTGTGGAACCCAAAGAGGGTAATTTAGCCTGCCTGCAAGATGCTGTTCAAGATAAACATAAAGAAAATACACAACAAGAGTGAGCATAGATCTATAAGAGAATGAGCAGATATACAAATGTACAGTGGGTATACGGTTGATATACAGTGGATGTACTCATTTACAGTGTCAGTATGAATATATAAATAATGAAATATATCAAATGAATATATCTACATGCAGAGAGATGGACAGAGTGCAATGCAGTATAGTGCAGTTATTTTGTGTATAGTTCAGAGAAGCTTGATGCGATAGAGTGTATAGTCCTTTAGTCTCTATGGGCCAGATGGCCGGTCAGAGAGGGCCACAGCCCGGGGGAAGAAACTTTTCAGGTGGTAGGAGGTTTTAGTCATGAGTGACCTGAACCGCCTGCCAGAGATGAATTTTTGGAGGAGGGGGTCACCGGCGTGGGAGGGGTCGGCGATAATCTTTCTTGCACGCTTCCTTGCCCTGGAGTCGTGCAGGACCTCGATGGAGGGCAGGTGGCAGCCGATGACCCTCTTTTCAGACCGGACAATGCGTTGTAGTTTGCCATCAATCTCGAGGGGGAGAGATGGTGGGGGGCGGTTTCTGAAGTCAACCACCATTTCAGTGGTTTTGCCTGTGTTGAGTTCCAGTTTATTGCGACTGCACCAGGCCACTAGCCGGTCGACCTCTCCACGGTACATGGACCATAGTGGTGTCATCTGCAAACTTGAGTAGTTTGACAGTTGCGTTATTGAAGGTGCAGTCATTGGTGTAGAGTGAGAAGAGGTGAGAGCATGCATCCTTGCGGCACTCCGGTGCTGAGGGATAAAGAGTTCCAAAAGGTGTTTTCCCACAAACATTATCCTTGCATATGTCTTTGGGTTATCAAAGTGTTTGAGGATGTGGTGTAGGCCCATGTTGACAGCGTCGTCCACAGACTTGTTAGCTCTGTAGGCAAACTGCAGTGGGTCGAGGAAAGCATAATTGATGGTTGTGAGATGGGACAGTACCAGACGCTCAAAGGTTTTCATGATGACCAAGGTGAGCGCTACAGGTCTGTAATCGTTCAGGCAGGACACCTTTTTTTTGGGGGGGGGGGGACTGGAACAATGAAACATACAGGAACAGTGCATTGCTCTGGACTTCGATGGAGGGCAGGTGGCAGCCGATGACCCTCTTTTCAGACCGGACAATGCGTTGTAGTTTGCCATCAATCTCGAGGGGGAGAGATGGTGGGGGGCGGTTTCTGAAGTCAACCACCATTTACGCGGTTTTGCCTGTGTTGAGTTCCAGGTTATTGCGACTGCACCAGGCCACTAGCTGGTCAACCTCTCCATGGTACATGGACTCATCGGCGTTGGTGATAAGACCGACCATAGCGGTGTCATCTGCAAACTTGAGTAGTTTGACAGATGCGTTGTTGAAGGTGCAGTCATTGGTGTAGAGTGAGAAGAGGTGAGAAGAGGTGAGAGCATGCATCTTTGCGGCACTCCGGTGCTGAGGGATAAAGAGTTCCAAAGGGTGTTTTCCTGTTGGGCAGGAAGTCAGTGATTCAATGACAGATGGAGCTGGACACATTCAGCTGGGAGAGTTTGTCTTGTAGCAGTTTTGAGATGATGGTATTGAACGCAGAGCTAAAGTCCACAAACAATATCCTTGCATATGTCTTTGGGTTATCGAAGTTTGAGGATGTAGTGTAGGTCCATGTTGACAGCGTCGTCCACAGACCATGCATTTAGGTCCAAGTTTAACTTCACTCTGTCTGATTTGAAGTTGCCACTTATACAACAGAAGTGTGATGGAAAACTTGGACGATGAAACGACTATAAGAGAGTATTTATTTAATGTGCATTTTCTGTGGAACCCAAAGAGGGTAATTTAGCCTTCCTGCAAGATGCTGTTCAAGATAAACGTAAAGGAAATACACAACAAGTAATGTTGAATTATGGATAAATATGTACAGTGTCTTACAAACAAACTCAAACATACTCAAACACACTAACATGCAGGCACAGTGGCACACTATATCATATTATTGTATAAGTGAAAGTGTATTGAAGAGCAAAGCTGTTTCCAGCCAATGGGCATCTCTGGAGTATATCACTGCCAGTCTAAAGAGAGAAACACCACGTGGTTTCAGGGAAACGGAGCTGAGTAAAATAACTGCCTGGGGGTTTAAGCTGTAGAGAGAGAAATACCTCTCTCCATGCTCAAGGAGCTGGTAATGCCACAGAAACAATCCACAGCATGTCTCCGTCAGTCAAAAAAGAGGAACATAATATTACAAATGGGCAGAAACAGTCAGAATTCTCTCTTGCAGATTTAGTTATTCATGTTCAAGGAGACAGGACACTCAGAATAATGATGGGGCTTGTCTGAGATGGCCAGATATAACTTTATACTGTTTATCCTTATTTCCTACTATTGGCATAATGTTTGTTTGGATAATCTCATCACCCAGCTCCATCAAGACAACATAGCCCTTCTTCCCCAAATGGCCAAATCCATCTGTCACAACAGTTTCCAAACAGACTCAGAAAACCCCTCACAGTTTCACAAGAAACATCACATAGTTACACAAACAAAACATCAGAAATCGTAAACATTCTGACAACCTCTGTTGAAACCCTCACGCTATCCCCCTTCACCCCCCTTCCCCAACATAGTGTTCTGATGAATTTAACCTAGGTGTGTATGCATGACAAGCTGACCTAACCTCTGACCTGTTTCATTTCCCTCTTTCTCTTCCTCCAGGGAGCATATGGAGGGCTACAGGGAGAGCTGCCCGACACAGGTGGACCATCTCAGCAGAGAGGTGGATGGCCTGGTTCATAGACTGGTCCAGGGCCTGGAGGACCAGTTTAAAAATGATGTCAGGGTAGGTTAGGGAGGGAAGTTTGATTGACCTTTGACTTTGTCCTCGTTCTACAAATGCCATGATAGCCTGAGTTGATCAGAGTGTGTTGAGGTGATTGAGATCTGTCTTTGCTACTTGTCTCGGGTGACCTGGAAGTTACTTAGTTTGGTAGCCTACTGATTTCCTCCTTGCACATGTTTTTGTAAAGGCTTTTAAACTCTCAATTGCTCCTGTTGTCAATGTAATGGATGGGTGAACAAACTAATTAATTAATTCATGAAAAAATTAGTGAGGGAATGGGTGGGTTAATATGTGTCTGTTGTATTTTCCAGCCCTACCTCAGGAGAATGATGACGAGGAAGTGGCTCTCCACAGATGAGGACTTCCAACAGCTGTATAGCAGGACAGAGAAGCTGTCCCAGCGCTGTTCACAAATGAGACCTCCATATGTACAGGTAAGGAATCGGGAAGTGCTGTTCATATTGTTTTAAATAAAGGATATAACACTCAATAAAGCAAATACTCAGAATTGTACTTGGTGGTATGGTGCTGCTAGTGATGGACAACATTTAGAGACAGAATACAGACAACAGAGTTTAAACAAAGTGTACATACATGAAATAATACAACTAGGTAGAGTGAGCATAGATCTATAAGAGAATGAGCAGATATACAAATGAACAGTGGGTATACGGTTGATATACAGTGGATGTACTCATTTACAGTGTCAGTATGAATATATAAATAATGAAATATATCAAATGAATATATCTACATGCAGAGAGATGGACAGAGTGCAATGCAGTATAGTGCAGTTATTTTGTGTATAGTTCAGAGAAGCTTGATGCGATAGAGTGTATAGTCCTTTAGTCTCTATGGGCCAGATGGCCGGTCAGAGAGGGCCACAGCCCGGGGGAAGAAACTTTTCAGGTGGTAGGAGGTTTTAGTCATGAGTGACCTGAACCGCCTGCCAGAGATGAATTTTTGGAGGAGGGGGTCACCGGCGTGGGAGGGGTCGGCGATAATCTTTCTTGCACGCTTCCTTGCCCTGGAGTCATGCAGGACCTCGATGGAGGGCAGGTGGCAGCCGATGACCCTCTTTTCAAACCGGACAATGCATTGTAGTTTGCCATCAATCTCGAGGGGGAGAGATGGTGGGGGGCGGTTTCTGAAGTCAACCACCATTTCAGTGGTTTTGCCTGTGTTGAGTTCCAGTTTATTGCGACTGCACCAGGCCACTAGCCGGTCGACCTCTCCACGGTACATGGACCATAGTGGTGTCATCTGCAAACTTGAGTAGTTTGACAGTTGCGTTATTGAAGGTGCAGTCATTGGTGTAGAGTGAGAAGAGGTGAGAGCATGCATCCTTGCGGCGCTCCGGTGCTGAGGGATAAAGAGTTCCAAAAGGTGTTTTCCCACAAACATTATCCTTGCATATGTCTTTGGGTTATCAAAGTGTTTGAGGATGTGGTGTAGGCCCATGTTGACAACGTCGTCCACAGACCTGTTAGCTCTGTAGGCAAACTGCAGTGGGTCGAGGAAAGCATAATTGATGGTTGTGAGATGGGACAGTACCAGACGCTCAAAGGTTTTCATGATGACCAAGGTGAGCGCTACAGGTCTTTAATCGTTCAGGCAGGACACCTTTTTTTTCGGGGGGGGGGGGACTGGAACAATGAAACATACAGGAACAGTGCATTGCTCTAGTGACTGGTTTAATATGTTTGTGAAAACGGTAGAGCTGGTCAGCGCAGTGCTTAAGTATGGCTGGAGAGACCGTGTCCGGGCCGGCAGCCTTCCTGCTATTGTCAGTGGTACTGATGTCGATGTGGTGGTGGAGTCAGGCGCAGGACACAGAAGCTTAATCCAAACAGACTTTACTCATCAGGAAAAGGACAAATACAAAATAAAGAGCCTCAAACGACGGAGGCGAGTGATACGCAGACCGTGCGTAAAACACTAAATACAAGAGATGCGCAAACAGTGCGTAACTATTCTTGAATATGAGAATGCAAAATCCAACAAACCCCAACAGACAGGCGTACAATTACACACAACTAACTACAAACAAAACGAGAAACTTATAGGGGACATAATGAACACTAAATGGAAACAGGTGTACAAGGAAGACAAAACCAAACAAACATCGATAACATTCAACGGTGGCAGCTAGTACTCCGGGGACGACGAACGCCGAAGCCTGCCCGAGCAAGGAGGAGGAGCAGCCTCGGCCGAATCCGTGACAGCTATTCTGTTTCCTAAAGAGTGTTACTGGAAGGTGACCATGCATAGAATGGAAAATGTATTAAAGTAGCTTCTTGAGTTGATGTGGAAATAGGGGTGAAGTGCCAGGAAAAGCAGTAAAAGGAAGAGGAGGAGGATGGGTGTCAATTAGTTGATTAGGATTGTGTCAGTCATGTGAAAGAAAGAACGTAAACAGTGAAAACAGCAGACTTTCATTTTTCTTTTAAATTCCTTTCTCTTGCCCCACTGTTCCATGTGTTCCTCTGCATCAGACCTTTGTGAGCCGCTTGCACTACTACGTGGTGAAAGAGTATGTATCCCAGCTAATGAAAAACAACTACTCCTGTAAGAACAGAAAGCATGACAAAGCAGCCACCAAGATGAGGATGCAGTGGGATAAACTCAAGGATCTGTTTGAGGAAATGGTAGCTAACACTTCTTAACCCTGAACCACAATCTGTTATAAGATTTTTTTGTCAATTTACATCCACACACATTCCACTTTTCATGTTCAAAATGTAGAATACTATAGTACATACATTTGTTTCATCGTTATGTCTTTGTGCTTTGAAGAATATTACTGACTTGCTATAACCATTCAAGACTACTAGACACACTCAAAATACTTTCCTCTTCTATAAGACAACCCATGACTGGCTCCACCCAGTAGGAGACCACCTGAGTAACATCATTGGTGAAACAAACAAGAGGAACATAAAGAACCACCTGGAAGGTTTAGTAGCAGACTACCCAGACATCAGGTAATAACATGCATATTCCTGTGGTCACACCTTGTATCTGTTGATTTGGATAATCAACAGAGTATACAGGTGTAATATGCACAGTATAAATTACAAAAGATAATCAAAGTTTTAAAAAAACATCATATGAATTCTACTCTGACTCTGTTATGGCCCTGTTGCTGTGAGGAGAGAAGAACAGTAGTGGAAGAAAGTAGGTCAGTAGTTAGCAGTGTTCATCAGACAGAGGAAGCAGGTTGACAGTAGCAGATTGAGAGAGCGCAGAGAGCATTGTTGATTCCCAACAGCAGTAAATACAGGAAGTAGGAGGGGCAAGACCAGCCTGAGCCTGTTGAGAGAGAGACTTTCCCTCAGATTACACAGACCCACAAAGAATTTGAAAACAAATCAAATGTTGAACAACTCTCATATCTACTGGGTGAAATACCACAGTGTGCCATCACAGCAGCAAGATTTGTGACAAGTTGCCACAAGAAAAGGGCAACCAGTGAAGAACAAACACCGTTGTAAATACAACCCATATTTATGCTTATTTATTTTCCCTTTTTTAACACTGTACACAGCCATAATATGACATTTGAAATGTCCCTATTGTTTTGAAACTTTTGCGATTGTAAAGTTTACTGTTCATTTTTTATTGTTTATTTCACTTTTGTTTATTATCTATTTCACTTGCTTTCTCAATGTTTCCCATGCCAATAAAGCCCTTTGAATTGAATTGACTGCAAAGCAGGGGTGACAGAACACTTGTAAAAGTGCTGTATTTTCCCAGAACATTGCCCTGGTCTGGATTTTTGTGAACCTCTCTGTGACATTTGATTTGTTGATTGAACTTTAGTAAACTACTCCAAATCAAGATTCACTGAATTTTTTGTCTCTGTCTGCAGTAAGAAGCACCTGTCGGCTGTGCTGTACTTCAGGGGCTTGATGCGGGGAAGGGAGAGGCAGGTGATCCTGCAGCGTCTCACTGAGCTGAAGAGGGAACTGGGAACCGCAGGGAACACTGGAGATAGTAGAAGAGCTCTCTTCAGTGACATGCAGGTCACCGTCACCAATACAGACTGTCTGGCTGACATTCCTTTCTCCTGCCTCTCCTCCTCCCAGACAGATAAGGAACGGGCCTAGATACAGGAGCCTACCACAGAGATGGTACCCTAACCAAGCTGTCTGAGAAAAATAACATACTGTACAGTAGGATCACAAGTATAATCACCTCGCACAAATCAAACGTAGAATAATGATTCATGTAATCAAAGGGATGCTTTAAGACACCTCATTGATTAAATGGACACAAATAAAAATGGGGCTGATGCTAAATGAACTCTATGATGGGGCTCAAACTGTATGTTCAGCAGGGGCGCAACTTTGGTTTTAGAAGTGGGGGGACATAATACATTTTTACAATTATTATTAAAAATATATAAATATAATTTGGGGGGGGGTAGATTAGCTTCATTATTGCACATAGATTGTGGCTTCCATCAATGTAATTGTCTGCATCATTTCCAATTCCCCATATATTTTTTGTAAATATATATATCTATTTTTTAAATACATTTTCCTTTATTATTTTCCCCTAACCCTCCCATCCCTCACCTAATTGGAGTAAACTAATGGACAGCAACACTTATGCTTCTACTTCCAGTTTATACATTCTATATACATTTTACTGACACAGTATATTTTATATTAGTTATCTTATGTTTGTTTTTAGTTCCATCCTTCATCTCCACACAATCCTTCTCATCTGTCTCTGAACACCATACCATTTTTATTTCTATTTGCCATATATTTTTCAACTGTGCTGTGATGTTTCACAAAAGTTCTGAACCTTTCTATTCTCATAGATTCTACATAAGGTAAATAAATAAAAGGAATAAGAGTATTATATTACTGATCAAGCTTGGTAAGAGATTATTAAATATGTTTAAGTGATTGATAAGACTGAACTAGATCCATGATAATTCAATAATCAATATTGTGTTGCACCTTTAACCAATAGCCTAACAAATGAACAACTCTTACAAATAAAGTACAAAGACAACTTTTGATTGTCTTTAAGACATCCTCTATATAAAATTTCAACCAGACCGCCCAGCCAACCCGAGCTGCCTACACGCCCGACTCCCACCAGTCTAGTCAATAACTCAACTCTCTCCCCAACACAACTTCCTTCCCATCTTTTTTTATGTCTCAAGGGAATGGTTTGGAAAACAAAAGTTGAATGAAAACACACATACACCTACACATTGACACACAGAAATAGTACACCCTCCATATAATTCATATCATAGGCCTAATAGTTCTGTAGAGCTCTTTTTACTTGCACACAATATAGCTGGGTAGCCCCGTCCTGCCCCTAGGGGTCCACCGCCCTGTAGCGCCCCAACCCAACACACCCCACTCACATTTAGGATCTTAGTGAAACATTCATTATTGGTTTCAGGTGTGTTAGGCCAAGGCCAGAGTGACAACAGTACAGCAGACCCCCATGGCCAGGACTGTGCAGCCCAGCAGCTAGGGATTGCCTAATACTCCTTTTGTCGTACAATATTCCATATAAGGCATCCAGACCTTATGAAAGTTGCACAGTATACCCTTAATCTTAGTGAAACTGTACATAACCAACCTTCCAATTAATGAATTAACCACTATAAATGCTAGGTTACACAGTTTCTTCTGATAACAGTCTCCAGTATCAACATTTCCAAGCAAACAAAAACAGGGAGAAGGGAGAATCTGTAGACATGCTGAGATAAAATAACATACTCTTTGCCAGAATTCAGCTAGCCTTCACAAGACCACAACATATACAAATATGTCCCGTTTTGTGCTTTACACCTCTATCAGAATAATGCAATTTCTGTTTCACTGGCATATAGTACGTTCTATTGATGGTCTTAAACTGCAGTAATTTATGTCTGAGATTATATGAACATGACTGGCCATGCTAACACATCTGTATCCAGGGATGCGGGTCCCGACAGAGATCATTGCGGCGCGGTCGGAATTTTTCATGCTGCAGGCTGGAGCCGGCGGTCAGATGACTTTGGAATGAAAATATTTTTGTCACACAGATTATTTTTAAACGGTCCTCTTTCTGCTATGTCTGCGTTGCCTACCTATTGTATTAAAATCACATATTTCTCACATTATTCACACCAGTGGCGACCCGTCATTCAGGGCAAGTGGGGTAGAGCCCCACCTGTTTTGAGCCTCACCTGTTTAGCTAAAAAAAATATAGAACACTTTAAAAAAACTTGGGTTGCCTATTTTGCATGTTATTTTGGCATTAATACATGTCACATATCAATGTGCAAACAGTGTAAAAATAAATAATCATTGAGTTAATAAAGCCGCATACAAACTTGGTCTCTTTTTTGCTTTCTTGAGTAAGGCACCTCCAAAATGCAGGTGTTTCAGCCTAGCTCAGTGCTTTCTGTGGTGGTGGGGAAGCCAGCGGAAAATATGGAGCGTAGGGGTTGGCAATGTTCTCTATTTGCGCCGTGATTGGCTCAGTGTTCTGTCACTCATGGGGACACTACGTCACTGCAAAATCTACAGGTAGAGCTAAAAGATTCAAGCCCCTTGGGTGCTCCCATAGACTTACATTAGAAGTGCCCATCCAAGAAGGCTCAAGGTCATTGGCCACAGATAAAATGACATAAAGTCACGTTATATCTACAGTAGCTTTGATTGAACTGATCATGTCAACATCATACTTTCAAAATCTTGTAATGTAATATGCCAGGGAGATATGTATACTGTAGCTAAGAAAGTAATACTATGTTGTGTAGTAAACTGTTAGTTGCCCATGTGCCTCACCCTAATACTTTGGTCCCTTTTCCCCTCATTATTTAGCCTACTGTTCTGACTTGGTGGTGCACATGTAGCCTATGGCCTGTTTTAGAGAGATGTCATCATCGAATATTGTAAGACCTTTCATTCTGCTTAAATGCCCCCTTTATTTATCCTACAGTTCTGACTTAGTGCACAGGGAGAATACTGTAAGAACGGCCCATGTTCTGAATTCTGTCACTGTACATTTCAAAAGTGCTGAACAAATAGCTACATTGACTACGTCCATCCTAGCTCGCTCATTAATGTCTTAATCGAAATTACAGATTGCCTCTTATCCGCTCGTCGTCCCTGATGCCATAGTTTGTACATCTCAATTGTCAGTAGAAACCACGTTTGTTTAAGCAAGTCAGCCATATCAGCTATGTTCTTTTTAAAGGCAGTACATGAGGCTGAATGAACTGTTTCGCTGCCAGACAAGGCTCTGCTGACAGCCAGGTGTAGCAGTGGTAAGGTGTTGGGACTGCTGTTGGGACTGCTGTTGGGACAGCTTTATGTAGGCCCTAACAGTTTGAGGGCACAGTTTGTCACCGTTATAGTGCAAATAATGTATTGTTTAGTACTGTGTTGTGGCTTTGCTGGCATGCATAAAAAATAAAAATAAAGAAGTTTGCTCCACCAAGATCTACATTGTCACGTTCGTTCATCGACGGGTCAGACCAAGGCGCAGCGTGATATGCATACATGTTTATTTGGAACGAATAAACAAGCGACAAAACAACAAACTAAACGAAACGTGAAGTCCACGGTACACAAACAACATACCTCACACGGAACAAGATCCCACAACCCACTAGTGCCAATAGGCTGCCTAAGTATAGTCCCCAATCAGAGACAACGAGCGACAGCTGCCTCTGATTGGGAACCACACCGGCCAACATAGATCTAGACATACTAGACTTATAACATAGACCTACACCACATAGAAAATACACACCCTGACTCAACAAATAAGAGTCCCCAGAGTCAGGGCGTGACAGTACCCCCCCCCCCCCCCCCCCCCCCAAAGGTGCAGACTCCGACCGCACAACCTTTACTTAACAGGGTAGGGGCCGGGTGGGCGGATCCGGCTCAGGGCGTGACAACCACCTATTCTCCGCCTCCCTGTTGCGCCCCTGGTCTGGTCTGGACCTCGGCGCACTGCTTCCCCTCTCCTTCTTCCCACTATACTCCAAGCCCTGTCTGGACCCTGGTGTGGGAGGCCCCGAACCTGGAGAGGGGCTGACGTCTGGGTCTGGTCTGGACCACTCAGAGGCGTCCGCATGATCCTAAAGCACACCCTTGCCTTGTTTTTTTTATCACATTCCAATAATACAACTGTGGGGGGGGGGGGACAAAAATGCAATTTCAGAATGTGGGGTATCCCCCCCCATCCCCAGTGAAAGTTGCACCCCTGATGTTCAGTGTTGAACAAACTTAACCATTGAGGAAAGTGAAAGTACAACTATTTCCGGGCTACTTAGATGCATTTCGTTGCAGGTATTAGCCTACTTTAAAAAAAAAAAAAAAATTTACCCCACAGTCCACAGTTCTGTTTTTGTGAGGTTAAGAGCGAGGATTTGAAATATAACATTTGAGAATTAAACCACAAAACAAATGCAGTCTTCTCCATTTGTTAGTTAAGTGAAAGCTTTAGTTTCCTTCCTTTGTATTCGTGTCTTGTATGACTATAGATTTCAAGTCCATCCCAAATAAATCCATCCAACATCTACTGTATACTGTTCTCATAGTTCACTGATCATTTGTGTCAGCTCATTAATTATATTGTAGATATAATGATAAGCAAATGTATCATAAAAGTAATCATTATCTTGTACATAAAGTTTTAGTTGAAGTCAATACACATTTGCCTGTTTATCATGTGAGATGCATGCAGGCCAACCCAGCACATGATAGGATTGGGAAAATATGTTGAGACTGTTGTGACATGCTTTATGAAAATAAACTCCAAAGTGTCAGATAACAGAAGCAAAGCTACACCAACATGAAAACCCATAACGTCATATGAGGAAGGAAGCAATGTTGCTAAAGAGCAGCTCAACCGTCTTATAAAAGGACTGCCCGGTATCCTCCTGAGGTGTCTATTGCTAAGCAACATTCAGTTCATCTTGACCACATGCAGGGGAGGTAGAACACTTGACCCATCATTTATAGCAGCGCGAACTGTGGAAGAATGGAGTTATTTAGAGGGTTGAGGGATGAAGCAGGTAAGGCATGATCATTTCTTACGTTTTTCAAGTCTAGAACTCAATGACATTACATAACGGAAAATAAATCAGACTATTGCTTAGCTATGTCAATATTAACTATCTGTTTAAAACAGGTGATAAATTCCATAGCCTCAAATTTCTTTAGGGCTGATTCAATCAGATCCGCTTTAGCCAACATCTGCATAGCTGATGTTTTTACGGTGCTGGAGTTGAAACATTAGAGCAGTTACACCTGGCTATCAGCGGAGCCTTGTCTGGCAGCAAAACAGTTCATTCAGCCTCATTTATTGCTTGTTAAAAAAACATAGCTGATATGGCTGACTTGCTTAAACAAACGTGGTTTCCACTGACAATTGAGATGTATAAACTGTGGCATAAGGGAATGATGAGCAGATAAGAGGCAATCTGTAATTTCGATTAAGACATTAATGAGCGAGCTAGGACGGACGTTGTCAATATAACTGTTTGTTCAGCACTTTTGAAATGTACAGCGACAGAATTCAGAACATGGGCCGTTCTTACAGTTTTCTCCCTGTACACCAAGTCAGAACTGTAGGATAAATAAAGGGAGCATATAAGCAGACAATGAAAGCTCTTATTCGATGATGACATTTCTCTAAAACAGGCCATAGGCTACATGTGCACCACCAAGTCAGAACAGTAGGCTAAATTATTAGGGTGAGGTACATGGGCTACTAACAACTTACTACACAACATACACTTAGTATTACTTTCTTAGCTACAGTATACATATCTCCCAGGCATATTACATCATTTATGCAGCAGCATACAGGACATTTTTGGACTCACCTTGTTGTACTGTGCTCACGTGAACAGGAAGGTGGCGCGGTGGTCCTTCACGGGCAAATGTTGTCATCAAACTTTGTCATCAAAGTCTGGCATTCTCTGGATTTATCGTGCTTTCAAGACAACTGGGAACTCAGAGAAAAACAAGGTTGAATCATGATGATGTCAGTGATCTTCAGGTAGGAGCTCTAGAAAGAGGCCAGAGTTCCCGACTTAGAATTCCGAGTTGGATGACTGTTCAAAACGTATTTTCCCAGTCGGAGCTAATTTCATTCAGAGTTCCCAGTTGTCTTGAACTGGGAACTCTGAGATTTCCCAGTTCCGAGTTTCCAGTTGTTTTGAAAATGCCAGAAGTCTTGCTGGATTGACAGCATGGCCAATGTTTAATGTTTATCCCTTTAAGCTTGGAAAAGAGACCTTTAAACCCAGACTTGGACCACACATCCACTCCACTGAATAGCAGGCTAGTGATTGCTTTGCAATGCTTGCAGTTAGCCACTGATTCCTACCAAACCACTCATTGTTGAATTTGCGATTTCCAACTTGTTGTGTAATGTTTATGTCCAATGGCAGATGAGCACCGATACGTTTTATCTATAATTTCTCTTCATAATTTCTCTTCATATGACAAGGATTGAAAAGGATTTGCCAGTAGATTGTCGACTTGATTCATGATGATGACTGCTAGCTTGCTAGCTAAGATTTTGAAAGTATGATGTTGACATGATCCGTTCAATCAAAGCTACTGTAGATATAACATGATTTGATGTCATTCTATCTGTGGCCAATGACCTTGAGCCTTCTTGGATGGGCACTTCTAATGTAAGTCTATGGCAGCACCCAAGGGGGTGACATAGTCCCCTGTAGCTCATTTGGTAGAGCATGGCGCTTGCAACGCCAGGGTTGTGGGTTCGTTTCCCACGGAGGGCCAATATGAAAATGTATGCACTCACTAACTCTGGATAAGAGCATCTACTAAAATGTAAATGTTTGAATTTTCGAGCTCTCCCTGTAGATTTTGCAGTGACATAGTGTCCCAATGAGTGACAGAACACTGAGCCAATCACGAGAGAACATTACCATCCCCAAGGCACCGTATTTGCCAAGAGTGTGCAAAGCTGTCATCAAGGCAAAGGGTGGCTATTTGAAGAATCTCAAATATAAAATATAATTTAATTTGTTTAACACTTTTATGGTTACTACATGATTCCATATGTGTTATTTCATCGTTTTGATGTCTTCACTGTTATTCTACAATGTAGAAAATAGTAAAAATAAAGAAAAACCCTTTAATGAGTAGGTGTTCTAAAACTTTTGACCTGTAGTGTATTTTAAACCAAATACTTTTAGACTTTTACTCAAGTAATATTTTACTGGGTGACTTTCACTTTTACTTGAGTCATTTTCTATTAAGGTATCTAAACTTTTACTCAAGTGTGACAATTGGGTGCGGCTTTATTAACTCAATTATTTATTTATTTTTTACATTGTTTGCAAACTGATATGTGACACATATTAATTACAAAATAACATGCAAAACAGGTGGGACTCTGCCCCACCTGCCCTGAATGACGGGTCGCCACTGCGTCTTTTTACAGATTTATAAACTCAGCAGAGAACGTTCTCTCTCTCTCAATTCAGCGCCACTCTAATGTTGAGGGGCGTTTCTTTAAAACATGCATCCAATCCCCTTGATCCCTTACATAATTAGACCAATCATATACTTCAATGTGCCGTGGTTCACAGTGCTGTGACAGGACAGGACCATTACATTTACATTTACATTTACGTAATTTAGCAGACGCTCTTATCCAGAGCGACTTACAAATTGGTGCATTCACCTTATAGCCAGTGGGATAACCACTTTTCAAAATTTTTGGGGTGGGGTAAGGGGGGGGGGGGGTAGAAGGATTATTTTATCCTAACCCAGGTATTCCTTAAAGAGGTGGGGGTTTCAAGTGTCTCCGGAAGGCGGTGAGTGACTCCGCTGTCCTGGCGTCGTGAGGGAGCTTGTTCCACCATTGGGGTGCCAGAGCAGCGAACAGTTTTGACTGGGCTGAGCGGGAACTGTGCTTCCGCAGAGGTAGGGGGGCCAGCAGGCCAGAGGTGGATGAACGCAATGCCCTCGTTTGGGTGTAGGGACTGATCAGAGCCTGAAGGTACGGAGGTGCCGTTCCCCTCACAGCTCCGTAGGCAAGCACCATGGTCTTGTAGCAGATGCAAGCTTCAACTGGAAGCCAGTGGAGTGTGCGGAGGAGCAGGGTGACGTGAGAGAACTGGGGAAGGTTGAACACCAGACGGGCTGCGGCATTCTGGGTGAGTTGTAGGGGTTTAATGGCACAGGCAGGGAGCCCAGCCAACAGCGAGTTGCAGTAATCCAGACGGGAGATGACAAGTGCCTGAATTAGGACCTGTGCCGCTTCCTGTGTAAGGCAGGGTCGTATTCTCAGAATGTTGTAGAGCATGAACCTACAGGATCGGGTCACCGCCTTGATGTTAGCGGAGAACGACAGGGTGTTGTCCAGGGTCACGCCAAGGCTCTTCGCACTCTGGGAGGAGGACACAACGGAGTTGTCAACCGTAATGGCGAGATCATGGAACGGGCAGTCCTTCCCCGGGAGGAAGAGCAGCTCTGTCTTGCCGAGGTTCAGCTTGAGGTGGTGATCTGTCATCCACACTGATATGTCTGCCAGACATGCAGAGATGCGATTCGCCACCTGGTTATCAGAAGGGGGAAAGGAGAAGATGAGTTGTGTGTCGTTTGCGTAGCAATGATAGGAGAGGCCATGTGAGGATATGACAGAGCCAATTGACTTGGTGTATAGCGAATTTGGGGGTTACCCACAAGCAGGACTCGAACCCTGTTCAGCGACTGTCAAGCTAACACCTTAATCAAATCAAATCAAATTGTATTGTATTGGTCACATACATTTAAATACACTGCTCAAAAAAATAAAGGGAACACTAAAATAACACATCCTAGATCTAAATGAATGAAATAACCTTATTAAATACTTTTTTCTTTACATAGTTGAATGTGCTGACAACAAAATCACACAAAAATGATCAATGGAAATCAAATGTATCAACCCATGGAGGTCTGGATTTGGAGTCACCCTCAAAATTAAAGTGGAAAACCACACTACAGGCTGATCCAACTTTGATGTAATGTCCTTAAAACAAGTCAAAGTGAGGCTCAGTAGTGTGTGTGGCCTCCACGTGCCTGTATGACCTCCCTACAATGCCTGGGCATGCTCCTGATGAGGTGGCGGATGGTCTCCTGAGGGATCTCCTCCCAGACCTGGACTAAAGCATCCGCCAACTCCTGGACAGTCTGTGGTGCAACGTGGCGTTGGTGGATGGAGCGAGACATGATGTCCCAGATGTGCTCAATTGGATTCAGGTCTGGGGAACGGGCGGGCCAGTCCATAGCATCAATGCCTTCCTCTTGCAGGAACTGCTGACACACCCCAGCCACATGAGGTCTAGCATTGTCTTGCATTAGGAGGAACCCAGGGCCAACCGCACCAGCATAAGGTCTCACAAGGGGTCTGAGGATCTCATCTCGGTACCTAATGGCAGTCAGGCTACCTCTGGCGAGCACATGGAGGGCTGTGCGGCCCCCCAAAGAAATGCCACCCCACACCATGACTGACCCACCGCCAAACCGGTCATGCTGGAGGATGTTGCAGGCAGCAGAACGTTATCCATGGCGTCTCCAGACTCTGTCACGTCTGTCACGTGCTCAGTGTGAACCTGCTTTCATCTGTGAAGAGCACAGGGCGCCAGTGGTGAATTTGCCAATCTTGGTGTTCTCTGGCAAATGCCAAACGTCCTGCACGGTGTTGGGCTGTAAGCACAACCCCCACCTGTGGACGTCGGGCCCTCATACCACCCTCATGGAGCCTGTTTCTGACCATTTGAGCAGACACATGCACATTTGTGGCCTGCTGGAGGTCATTTTGCAGGGCTCTGGCAGTGCTCCTCCTGCTCCTCCTTGCACAAAGGCGGAGGTAGCAGTCCTGCTGCTGGGTTGTTGCCCTCCTACGGCCTCCTCCACGTCTCCTGACATACTGGCCTGTCTCCTGGTAGCGCCTCCATGCTCTGGACACTACGCTGACAGACACAGCAAACCTTCTTGCCACAGCTCGCATTGATGTGCCATCCTGGATGAGCTGCACTACCTGAGCCACTTGTGTGGGTTGTAGACTCCGTCTCATGCTACCACTAGAGTGAAAGCACCGCCAGCATTCAAAAGTGACCAAAACATCAGCCAGGAAGCATAGGAACTGAGAAGTGGTCTGTGGTCACCACATGCAAAACCAGTCCTTTATTGGGGGTGTCTTGCTAATTGCCTATAATTTCTACCTGTTGTCTATTCCATTTGCACAACAGCATGTGGAATTTATTGTCAATCAGTGTTGCTTCCTAAGTGGACAGTTTGATTTCACAGAAGTGTGATTGACTTGGAGTTACATTGTGTTGTTTAAGTGTTCCCTTTATTTTTTTGAGCAGTGTACATACAGGGTGGAGAACAAGTATTTGATACACTGCCGATTTTGCAGGTTTTCCTACTTACAAAGCATGTAGAGGTCTGTAAATCCAGAAAATCACATTGTATGATTTTGAAGTAATTAATTTGCATTTTATTGCATGACATAAGTATTTGATACATCAGAAAAGCAGAACTTAATATTTGGTTCAGAAACCTTTGTTTGCAATTACAGAGATCATACGTTTCCTGTAGGTCTTGACCAGGTTTGCACACACTGCAGCAGGGATTTTGTCCCACTCCTCCATACAGACCTTCTCCAGATCCTTCAGGTTTTGGGGCTGTCGCTGGGCAATACGGACTTTCAGCTCCCTCCAAAGATTTTCTTTTGGGTTCAGGTCTGGAGATTGGCTAGGCCACTCCAGGACCTTGAGATGCTTCTTACGGAGCCACTCCTTAGTTGCCCTGGCTGTGTGTTTCGGGTCATTGTCATGCTGGAAGACCCAGCCACGACCCATCTTCAATGCTCTTACTGAGGGAAGGAGGTTGTTGGCCAAGATCTCGCGATACATGGCCCCATCCATCCTCCCCTCAATATGGTGCAGTCATCCTGTCCCCTTTGCAGAAAAGCATCCCCAAAGAATGATGTTTCCACCTCTATGCTTCACGGTTGGGATGGTGTTCTTGGGGTTGTACTCATCCTCCTTCTTCCTCCAAACACGGCGAGTGGAGTTTAGACCAAAAAGCTATATTTTTGTCTTATTAGACCACATGACCTTCTCCCATTCCTCCTCTGGATCATCCAGATGGTCATTGGCAAACTTCAGACGGGCCTGGACATGCGCTGGCTTGAGCAGGGGGACCTTGCGTGCGCTGCAGGATTTTAATCCATGACGGCGTAGTGTGTTACTAATGGTTTTCTTTGAGACTGTGGTCCCAGCTCTCTTCAGGTCATTGACCAGGTCCTGCCGTGTAGTTCTGGGCTGATCCCTCACCTTCCTCATGATCATTGATGCCCCATGAGGTGAGATCTTGCATGGAGCCCCAGACCGAGGGTGACTGACCGTCATCTTGAACTTCTTCCATTTTCTAATAATTGCGCCAACAGTTGTTGCCTTCTCACCAAGCTGCTTGCCTATTGTCCTGTAGCCCATCCCAGCCTTGTGCAGGTGTACAATTTTATCCCTGATGTCCTTTAACACAGCTCTCTGGTCTTGGCCATTGTGGAGAGGTTGGAGTCTGTTTGATTGAGTGTGTGGACAGGTGTCTTTTATACAGGTAACGAGTTCAAACAGGTGCAGTTAATAAAGGTAATGAGTGGAGAACAGGAGGGCTTCTTAAAGAAAAACTAACAGGTCTGTGAGAGACGGAATTCTTACTGGTTGGTAGGTGATCAAATACTTATGTCATGCAATAAAATGCAAATTAATTACTTAAAAATCATACAATGTGATTTTCTGGATTTTTGTTTTAGATTCCGTCTCTCACAGTTGAAGTGTACCTATGATAAAAATTACAGACCCCTACACGCTTTGTAAGTAGGAAAACCTGCAAAATCGGCAGTGTATCAAATACTTGTTCTCCCCACTGTATATATGCATATCCTTAAAAATATATATTTCCCTTTATTACTTTCCAAACCCACCACCCCTTCCCTAATTGGAGTAAACTAGTGAACAACAATGCTTAGGCCTCTTCTTCCAGCTTATACATACTATATACATTTTACGGACACAGTCAATTTTACAATAATTCTATTTTGTTTGTTTTTACTCCTGAACTTCCTCTACCCTCAATCTCTCCGATCGTTTTCATGATGTCCATCCGGTTTGCTTCTATATGCCATATCTTTCTAACTATGCTCTTTCACAAAAGCTCTCAACCTATAACCTATATACTTATTATGGACACAGTATGCTTTACATTAGTTATCTTGTTGTTATTAGTTATTGTTAGTTGTTATTAGTCCCATCCTTCAACTCCATTCAACACCACCCATCTATCTCTTAACGCCATCCATATTGGATTTCTATTTACCATATCTTTTTCAACTGTACTGTGATGTTTTACAAAAGTTCTGAACCCTTCTATTCTCATTGTTTCTATAGATTGTAAATTGAAAATAAACATTTTTGCTAAAAGTATTATTATATTATTGATCGATTGACTATGACTTTTCAGATCACCCGGTAGTGCTATCGCTACAATATTTAACAACGCAGCAGATTGAATACCATCAGTTTATAACACATTGTATCTGTAAACACCACCATTGGCATGCCACCTCTGATGCAAATGCAGTAAGTGTCCATCTGTCTCTGACTGTCTCTCTATAGTGATGTGGACCCTAGGGACTAGGAACCCAGTCTCAGGAACAGGATCCACTAAACCAGACTCTCCAGTGGAACACAGTGGAAAGACAACATCAGCTGGAAGAAAGTTTAAACCTTTAAAATTCCTAAGACGGAATTCCAAGAGTAACACCAACATCACTGCTCCAGATGTCCACAACACATCCAGCGTTATTACTGCCCCTCTCGAGGGTGCGTAAACACTGCAATGAGTTCTGCCCTTCTCTATCTCATTGCATTTCTTTTTCAAATGAGTCCTTTCTTGTCAAAGGTTATTACCAAAATCCCTGATATGGAATTTACATTTTCCTTATGACTGATTCATTTCTTTATATAACATCTGTAGATGGTTATTATAACAGATATCATACAGCACATTCATATGTACATGTTTTAGGGCAGATAGTTTAGACACTGTAAACACTACACTGTCTTTGTTGTCTTTCCCCTCAGAGGTGTTGACCTTTGAGCAGAACCTTGAGAGAAATCGCCTGTCTGCTGCTGGCCAACAGCTGATTGAGAGAGAGGAGCATCTATATGGACAGATCTCAGAAGAGGTGGTTCAGTCGACCACAGAGAGGGAGAAGGAGGAGAAAGAGCAGCTCACCAGAGATCACAAAGCCCTCCTCAGCCACATAGACCTGGCTGTAAAGAGTTCTCTCAGTCCGGATGAAGACAGTCTGGAGGCTCTGAAGTCTGCAGTGAAGGCTATCCTACAGGAGGAGGAGCAGGATAGGCGATGGCTGAATCAGGAGGGTAAACAGCCTGCCTGGAGGCCCAGTGAGTGTAGACGTCACCACAACACTGTCCTCCAGAGCCTGGTGGAGGAGCGTATGGAAAATGCCGAATTGCCCCCTGAAGAGAGCAACAAGCTACGCTCCTCCCTGCAGAGGGAGGTCTGTGGGAAGGGCAGACGCCTGCAGGAGGACCTGCTGAGGGTGGTGAAGGATGTGAAGGGCTGCTACCCAGAGGACATGGATATCTGCAACCTCTATGGAAAGATGTATCACCAAGCCTTCAGCGCAGGGATGAGGAAGATTGAAGAGTATGGGCTGGGCATGGAGGACTGCTCTTACCTCCTGCATTGGGTGAATGTTGCCTACCCAGAGTGAGTGATGTCTTGTTTGTGTTTGGTTATTAAAATACTATATAAGGAGGTTAGGAGATGTGATTGACTAACATAGTAACTCCTGGTTTTTGTTTTAGAATTCTACAAAATCCGGAACTGACCAAGGTGATTAACCCTGAAACGTTGGGAAAGCTGTTGACTGAGGAGTTGACAACACCACTGGAGAATCAATATCTTACTCACAAAGAGGTAAATATGATTTAAATTAAAATGTGTCCTGCAAACTGGACCACAGCTTTCTGACCCACTTGTTTATGTTTTTGTACAGAAAAAGATTAGGGGCTCTATTTAATCTGTATCGCTGAAGCATTACAGATTGCACGATAGAAATGTAAAGGTAATGTCAGATTGAGCCGACATATGCAGCATTTACCGTGAAAGCAGTCTCCGCTAACGCAGGAACGTTGCCTTTAAATTTAAATCTCGCTGCAACGCTGAACTTCCACAATACAGATTGAATAGAGCCCTAGATTTGCCCACCTACAGATGTAGGATCTTGCAACAACAAAAAAATGTTTTAAACAATTCAAGGTTTAAAAAGGCTTCTAATGTTTGTAATTTCCACATACAATTTTCAGACTTGATTTGCCCTTATTAAAAATGTACCAACCCCTACAAAAATGTCAATTTATAATCCACACAATAATTAACATTTCCTGTTGTTGCAGGATTATTTTCCTGCTGTGAGAAGCAGGGTCAAATTAAGATCCTACATCTGGAGATGTAAATGATTGCTTGTGGATCATTTAAAAAAGGTTTATGGTAATATGCCCACACTCTTGAAAAAAAGGGTTCCAAAAGTGTTCTTTGGCTGTTCCTATAGAATAACCGTTTTTGGTTCCAGGTAGAACCCTTTTTGGTTCCAGGTAGAACTCTTTTGGGTTCCAGGTAGAACTCTTTTGGGTTCCATGTAGAATCCTCTGGGAAAAGGGTTCTACATGGAACCCAATAGGGTTCTACCTGGAACCAAAAAGTGTTCTTCAAAGGGTTATCCTATGGGGGCAGCCAAAGAACCCTTTTAGGTTCTAGATAGCAGAAATAAATGTTTCCCTTGTTAGATGCATTGTTTTGTTCATGCCCTGTTTTCAGACAGAGGTTCAGACATTGATCAACAAAGTGCTGAAGGTGGAGGAGCAAGCCTGGATGGATGGGTCTGTGCCTGAGCTCAGAGACGACTGTTACTTTAGCCCCTTGGCCATCGACGTAATTCAGGTAGACATCATATAGGAAATATTTGGCATCCTCATGCCTTTATTGCTCTAACTATTCAGTTAGTCACAAATTAAGTTGTTTACTTTAACAGGGATTAATTTAATAAATGTTATATTTCTCTGTCCCTATAGTTTATTAATGCTGCAGTGAAATCAGTAGAGACAGTTTTGGGAGACACGTCCAAAGTCCAGATAATTGTGTGCCTGTTGAAGGACTTCTTGAATAGGTAATATAAACTTTTTTCAGGAAATAATTGCATGTCCTGAAGTTACAATGCATTGTATTGTATTCTACTCCATATACTATCAAATGATGATTATCTATTTCTAATATACCAAATTACACACTTGCAGCTACAAGAAATTCCAGGAGAAAGTTCTCAAGGGAAGCAACAACAGAAACAGCAGAACTGTGATAATGGCCAATCTTGCCTGTGTTGAACAATTTAGGTATGTTTTACTTTTTCTTTGTGTGATTTGATGTCCAAATTGATAGGACCACCATGACATAATCTAGTCATCTAATTTGATGTCTATGATTCCACACAGGGACTATATTGTGAACAAAGCAGACATCTTCCCAGTGGATGTAAAGGAATGCTGTCTGTCCATAGTAGCTGATATGAAAAACATTGGCTACACATCTTTAACAAGCCCTATACACAAGGATCTCAAGGTATTGCTGACTTACACAACTCATCTCTCTTTGATTTTAAGTCTGAGTAAAGTAATGTAAAGTGGAATGTACCTACTAGCCTGTCCTTGCTCTTCATACAGTACTGCTCTATTGTCTATCTGCCCTCTCCTCTCCACACACACACACACACACACACACACACACACACACACACACACACACACACACACACACACACACACACACACACACATACACACACATACACACATACACACACACACACACACACAGTCTCAGTACAGCTGTCTGGGGACACCCGTCTGGTTGGAGAAGAAGAAACAGGTGTTTGAGATGCTGTTTGAAGGAATTAACAAACACACCCAGGATCTTAAGGGCTTGACTGACTCCTGTCATCAGGTAAATTGATTAACAGATTGATTGAGAGATGGAATGGCTGATTTCCTGGTTGGTTGGTTGGTTAATTGATAGATTCAGAAGTTGATTGGTTGGTTGGTTGGTTGATTAATTGGTCAGATGGTTGTGCAGGAGCTGCTGAGCCAGCTGCACTTGGAGGTGACAGTGGAGTACGTGAGGAGGCTACTGAAGAGGAAGATCAAGCTGAGAGACAAAGAGATGCAGGAGCAGGCGGCCAGGTTGGTGTGTGAGGATGGCCAGAGACTACACAAACTGTTCACTGAAGCGGTGAGAATACACTCACTCACTCACACACTCACTCACTCACTCACTCACTCACTCATTCACACACACACTCACTCACTCACTCACTCACTCACTCACACACTGGAGATCATATTGTGTTTGTTGTCACAGGGTTCCAGGGAGGAGTGGCTGAGTGACATCCTGCCCAAGATTGCTGAAGTGCTGAAACTCCAAGACATTTCCTCCATACAGCTGGAGATAGTGACTCTGAGTCAAGCTTACCCTGACCTCAGGTTAAACTTTTATACTTCTTATTCACATAACTGTTGTTACTCAATACTGTAGCTATGTGATTTTGTATCTCCTTTGCATATTCTAATGCAGTGATTGCTTATATTGATACAGCTGAAACAGTTCATGTTATAATGCTAAATTCAGTTGAAGTGCCTTGCACAAGGCCAATAACACACTGCAGATGATGCTGTGTTTGCATTGAACACCCAGTGAGGTCAACCTTTTCACCTTTGACCCACAGTGAATTCCAGGTGTCCGCCCTGCTTAGCCTCAAATCCAACCTTTCTGCCTCTGCCGTGAAGAGGGTGAAGAAGACCCTCCTGGACAACCAGGACACCACCAGCTCCCAGGATGCCCCACCCTTTTTCTCCAAGTTACAGGTCAAATGAGTGTTAAGTCTGCAATGCTCTTGTTATTAAAGTACCCTAAAGAGGGGACTAGCATGGTTCTGGTACCGGTTGACCGAAATGGTTGCTTATAAATTGCTCTGTGGACACCATAGATTGAAATGCCGTGCGTTCAGCGATAACCCTAGATCTCACGGACTCGGGAGTACATCTCTTCCGCCTGTGTACCTCAGGCTGTGAAATCTGACACCACTTGAAGCTGGGATGTCCTGCCTACCATTTCATTCACTCTTCTGACTGCCCATTAACTCCTGGCTGAAAGCCACTGACAAAGCACATGCCTGCAATCCTTAGATCCTAGCACAGCAGGAGAGAATGGTTTCATCGCATCCAGAACTTTATCGAAGTCATCAAAAATAATTCATAGATTTTAAACAAATATTTTTTATTCTGTTTGTCATAGACGGACAAGACTAATATGAGAAGGCAGGCCAGTTCATAATGAGTTCAGGAAGCCAAGCTATAGTCCTGTCCGATGTTCAGAAGGGTGGGGGCAGAAGTTTTGTTCAAGAGAAACCTTTAGACAATATGCACATTTTCTCTAACACGAAACATACAAATATGTATTTTACAGTTATAAGGAAGGTGACATTTTATAGTTAGTCATTTTAGAATTTTATTGTAATATATTTAAAAAGCATATACGTCATTTCAAGCCTTATTCATACAGTTTTGTTGAATAGGAAATACATCATAAAATATTTCATATGTGTATCATATTTGTACTGTGTACTTGAGCTTGTGTCCTCGAAAGTGACTACACCTCAGCAATTTCAAAAAAAATAAAAATAATCTTTCTTGGAGTATGCAAGTTATTGTTTATGGCCATCTCATGATAAATAATTACTTTTGGGTTACATAGATTATATTTTAGATTACATTTTATATTTGACATCTAACAAATAACCATCCAGTGATACACCATTTTACTGTCCTGTATTAGATTGGTGCAAAATAACCTTTGTATTTTGTGCATTCTTAAAGGGACCTATTAAACATTGTAATCCCAAGCTGATGTCACGCCCCGACTCAGGGGACTCTTATATGTTGAGTCAGGGTGTGTATATTCTATGTTGTGTATATTCTATGTGTGTTATCTAGTATGTGTTTATCTATGTTGGCCGGTGTGGTTCCCAATCAGAGGCAGCTGTCGCTCGTTGTCTCTGATTGGGGATCATACTTAGGCAGCCTATTGGCACTAGGTAGTTGTGGGATCTTGTTCCATGTTGGAGGCTTGTATTGTTTGTTAGCCTTAGGACTTCACGTTTCGTTTGTTTATTGTTTTGTTGTGTGTTTATCAGTTGAATAAACATGTACGCATATCACGCTGCGCCTTGGTCTGACCTGTCCTTGAACGACCGTGACAGAAGATCCCACCAAACACGGACCAAGCAGCGTGCCCAGGAGCAGACAGCCTGGACATGGGAGGAGATCCTGGACGGAAAGGGATCCTGGACATGGGAGGAGATTCAGGCTGGGATGGATCGCCGTACTTGGGAGGAGACAGTGGAGGCCCGGTATAGAGAGGAGCAACGGCAACGCAGAAGGCGCCGGCCGAGGGAGAAGAACGAGAGACAGCCCCAAGAAAATGTTTTGGGGGGGCTAAAAGGGTGGTTGGCGGAGCCTAGTGTTAGAGCAGAGCCAACTCCCCGTACTCACGTGAGGAAGCGTGTGACTGGGCAGGCTCTGTGTTATGCGGAGCTACGTACTGTGTCGCCAGTGCGCCGGCACAGTCCTGTACGTCCTGTGCTAGCACCACGCACGTGCCGTGCGAAGATGGGCATCCAGCCAGGACGGGGTGTGCCGGCTCAACGCTCCTGGTCTCCAGTACGCCTCCTCGGTCCCGCATATCCTGTGCCGGTTCTACGGACTGTATCGCCAGTGCGCGTGCACAGCCCAGTGCGTCCTGTGCTAATGCCTCACACATACTGTGCGGAAGTAGGCATCCAGCCAGGACGGGTTGTGCCAGCTCTCCGCTCCAGGCCAGTGGAGCGTGTTCCCAGTCCGGCACGGCCTGTTCCTGCCCCTCGCACCAAGCCAGTGGTGCGCGTCGCCAGTCCGGCCCGGCCTGTTCCTGCTCCTCGCACCAAGACAGTGGTGCGCGTCGTAGTCCGGCCCGGCCTGTTCCTGCTCCTCGCACCAAGCCAGTGGTGCGCGTGTCCAGTCCGACACGGCCCGTGCCCGTTCCACCGGTGCCTGGTCTGGCACCGGTCAGCGGCTCCACTCCGGAGCCAGAGCAGTCCGCTCCACCGGTGCAAAGTCCAGCTCCGGTCAGCGGCTCCACTCCGGAGCCAGAGCAGTTCGCTCCACCGGTGCCCAGTCCAGCTCCGGTCAGCGGCTCCAGTCCGGAGCCTGAGCAGCCTGCTCCACCGTCGTCTGGTCCAGCTCCGGTCAGCGGCTCCAGTCCGGACCCAGACGTCAGCCCCTCTCCAGGTTCGGGGTCTCCCACACCAGGGTCCAGACAGGGCCTGGAGTATCGTGGGAGGAAGGAGAGGGGAAGCAGCGCGCCGAGGTCCAGACCAGACCAGGGGCGCAACAGGGAGGCGGAGAGTAAGAGGTCGTCACGCGGAATGCCCACCGGCCCCTACCCTGTTAGGTGAAGGTTGTGCGGTCGGAGTCCGCACCTTTGGGGGGGGGGGGGGGGGGGTACTGTCACGCCCTGACTCAGGGGACTCTTATATGTTGAGTCAGGGTGTGTATATTCTATGTTGTGTATATTCTATGTGTGTTATCTAGTATGTGTATATCTATGTTGGCCGGTGTGGTTCCCAATCAGAGGCAGCTGTCGCTCATTGTCTCTGATTGGGGATCATACTTAGGCAGCCTATTGGCACTAGGTAGTTGTGGGATCTTGTTCCATGTTGGAGGCTTGTATTGTTTGTTAGCCTTAGGACTTCACGTTTCGTTTGTTTATTGTTTTGTTGTGTATTTATCAGTTGAATAAACATGTACGCATATCACGCTGCACCTTGGTCTGACCCGTCCTTGAACGACCGTGACAGCTGACTAGGTGAAAAATCTGTCGATGTGCCCTTAAGCAAGGCACTTAACCCTAATTGCTCCTGTAAGTCGCTCTGGATAAGAGCGTCTGCTAAATGACTAAAATGTAATATTGTGCAATACAGTTCTTTGAAGTTGTTGCTGCTTTTTCCTCCATGAGAATACTGTGTTCTTATAGCTTCTTAAAGATTTGTATGTTGTGTTTTGCATGTTGAGCTATTCATCACGTCTGTGAGGCACCTCTGTGTAGTTGACATTTCTCAATTTCTCCCTCAAGGATTCAAGAATTCTGCTTTTGAGTATTTTCTGCCTTACTCAAGGATTTCCCTTGAGTTGGTTAGTCAATGATTACAAGTCATTGTTACCATTTTGTCAATGAAAATGGAAAGTATACACTCTAAGCACTTGTCTAACCGACCATGATTTATTTTGTGTATCAGTTCCAGGTAAACGCTCACTTTACCAGTAAGCTACTTATGACTTTGGAAGGAAGGAAACCACATTAACAGCCTTGTTGTTAACAGGATAGGTGTTTCAAGTGAGTCAGGCTGCCAATTCTTCCAGGTTAATGTCAGTGTTTTGATATAGGTTGTGATAAGGATATAAGGGAAACACCATTCTTTGATGATAATATCCCCTGGGATACCATTGAGGAAGCATGTAGTGGTGGACTGTCCATTGAAAAAGATCAGATAAATACCATCCTACCTCTGTGGCCATCCAAAAACGCATTAAAATTGACTTACTGATTACTGTATGTGTTGTGAATTACTGTACATTTTGGAATTTCCAACATTCGAGTACTACTCTCACAAGCCAAGAAGACTGTAAGGGGATTTCCCTTCTCAGGGGAAGCACAATGACTGATAGCCTTACTGCCGTTGTCTCCATCTACAGGGCACTATTGGTGCTACACTCACTGCACATGAAGTCTTTCCATGAGGCATTTTTGATGAGGATTAAAACCACTTGACCTCAAAATGAAAAGCTTTAGGCAGTTTTAATTCCAATTTCAGATATGTATTATTATTATTTATCTTTAAGAGAGTAAATAATAACTTGCCATAGAGTACGTTTAAAAAGTTGACCAAGACATGTAAACAGAGCTCCAAATATTGTGCGGTAGGGTGAAAACTTGAGGGTCATGTTGTTTAGAGTGGGGTCGTTATTGTCCTCCGCCTGAGACTTCCCAGTTCACACACTCAGCAGCAAAGAAGGCAGCCAAACCAGAACTGGTTTGGGACAGGTAAATGGAGTACACTTCCTGGCTTGCCTCCAGAACCTCCCGGGTCTGTCTCAGTGACAGTCCTCCCAGGTGCTCCGTAGTACTACAACAGAGATAAACATTTATCAATACATAATACTGGAGATAGCAAGCCTGTACTCAAGCTATTCCCTATGTAATAAAATTAAAGACAGTGCTGTGGATCATGCAGACTTTGAAAACCCTGTGGCATACTCATCCGTGTAAAGAGGGGCTGTTTAACCTTGTGCTATAGCTTCTTAAAGATTATTATGTTGTATTTTGCATGTTGAATTATTTATGTAATAAAAAGAGCTATTCATTACATGTACCGTTGAAGTCGGAAGTGTACATACACCTTAGCCAAATACATTTAAACTCAGTTTTTCCACAATTCCTGACATTTAATCCTAGTAAAAATTCCCTGTCTTAGGTCAATTAGGATCACCACTTTATTTTAAGAATGTGAAATGTCAGAATAATAGTAGAGATAATGATTTATTTCAGCTTTTATTTATTTTATCACATTCCCAGTGGGTCAGAAGTTTATATACACTCAATTAGTATTTGGTAGAATTGCCTTTAAATTGTTTATCTTGGGTCAAACGTTTTGGGTAGCCTTCCACAAGCGTCCCACAATAAGTTGGGTGAATTTTGGCCCATTCCTCCTGACAGAGTTGGTGTAACTCAGTCAGGTTTGTAGGCCTCCTTGCTCGCACATGCTTTTTCAGTTCTGCCCACAAATGTTCTATAGGATTGAGGTCAGAGCTTTGTGATGGGCACTCCAATACCTTGACTTTGTTGTCCTTAAGCCATTTTGCCACAACTTTGGAAGTATGCTTGGGGTCATTGTCCATTTGGAAGACCCATTTGCGACCAAGCTTTAACTTCCTGACTGATGTCTTGAGATGTTGCTTCAATATATCCACATAATTTTCCTTCCTCATGATGCCATCTATTTTGTGAAGTGCACCAGTCCCTCCTGCAGCAAAGCACCCCCACAGCATGATGCTGCCACCCCCGTGCTTCACGGTTCGGATGGTGATCTTCGGCTTGCAATAATAATAATAATAATAATAATAATAATAATAATATGCCATTTAGCAGACGCTTTTATCCAAAGCGACTTACAGTCATGCGTGCATAATTTTTTTTGTGTATGGGTGGTCCCGGGGATCGAACCCACTACCTTGGCGTTACAAGCGCCGTGCTCTACCAGCTGAGATACAGAGGACCACAAGGTACCCCCTTTTTCCTCCAAACATAACGATGGTCATTATGGCCAAACAGTTCTATTTTTGTTTCATCAGACCAGAGGACATTTCTCCAAAAAGTACGATCTTTGTCCCCATGTGCAGTTGCAAACAGTAGTCTGGCTTTTTTTATGGTGGTTTTGGAGCAGTGGCTTCTTCCTTGCTGAGCGGCCTTTCAGGTTATGTCGATATAGGACTTGTTTTACTGTGGATATAGATACTTTTGTACCTGTTTCCTCCAGCATCTTCACAAGGTCCTTTGCTGTTGTTCTGGGATTGATTTGCACTTTTCGCACCAAAGTACGTTAATCTCTTGGATACAGAGCGCGTCTCCTTCCTGAGCGGTATGACGGCTGTGTGGTCCCATGGTGTTTATACTTGCGTACTATTGTTTGTACAGATGAACGTGGTACCTTCAGGCGTTTGGAAATTGCTCCCAAGGATGAACCAGACTTGTGGAGGTCTACCATTTTTTTTCTGAGGTCTTGGTTGATTTCTTTGGATTTCCCCATGATGTCAAGCAAAGAGGCACTGAGTTTAAAGGTAGGCCTTGAAATACATCCACAGGTACACCTCAAATTGACTCAAATGATGTCAATTAGCCTATCAGAAGCTTCTAAAGCCATGACATCATTTTCTGGAATTTTCCAAGCTGTTTAAAGGCACAGTCAACATAGTGTATGTAAACTTCTGACCCACTGGTATTGTGATACAGTGAATTATAAGTGAAATAATCTTTCTGTAAACAATTGTTGGAAAAATGACTTGTGTCATGCACAAAGTAGATGTCCTAACTGACTTGCCAAAACTATAGTTTGTTAACAAGAAATTGTGGAGTGGTTGAAAAATGAGTTTGAATGACTCCAACCTAAGTGTATGTAAACTTCCGACTTCAACTGTATGTATGGTACCTCTGTGTAGTTAAGATTCCTCCATCATTTATCCTTCATTGTTTGAAGAATTATGCGTTTGAGTATTTTCTGCCTTACTCAAGGATTTCCCTTGAATTGGTTAGTCAATGATTCCAAGTCATTGTTACCATTTTGTCAATGAAAATTGAAAGTATACACTCTAAGCACTTGTCTAACCGACCATGATTTATTTTGTGTATCATTTCCAGGTAAATGCTCACTTTACCAGTAAGCTACTTATGACTTTGGAAGGAAGGAAACCACATTAACAGCCTTGTTGTTAACAGGATAGGTGTTTCAAGTGAGTCAGGCTGCCAATTCTTCCAGGTTAATGTCAGTGTTTTGATATAGGTTGTGATAAGGATATAAGGGAAACACCATTCTTTGATGATAATATCCCCTGGGATACCATTGAGGAAGCATGTAGTGGTGGACTGTCCATTGAAAAAGATCAGATAAATACCATCCTACCTCTAATGTGGCCATCCAAAAACGCATTAAAATTGGCTTACTGATTACTGTATGTGTTGTGAATTACTGTACATTTTGGAATTTCCAACATTCAAGTACTACTCTCACAAGCCAAGAAGACTGTAAGGGGATTTCCCTTCTCAGGGGAAGCACAATGACTGATAGCCTTACTGCCGTTGTCTCCATCTACAGGGCACTATTGGTGCTACACTCACTGCACATGAAGTCTTTCCATGAGGCATTTCTGATGAGGATTAAAACCACTTGACCTCAAAATGAAAAACTTTAGGCAGTTTTAATTCCAATTTCAGATATGTATTATTATTATTTCTCTTGAAGACATTAAATAATAACTTGCCATAGAGTCCCTTTTAAAAGTTGACAAAGACATGTAAACAGAGCTCCAAATATTGTGTTGTCGGTTGAGAACTTGAGGGTCATGTTGTTTAGAGTGGGGTCATTATTGTCCTCCGCCTGAGACTTCCCAGTTCCCACACTCAGCAGCAAAGAAGGCAGCCAAACCAGGGTGCAGACCTGGTTTGGGAGAGGTAAATGGGGTACACTTCCTGGCTTGCCTCCAGAACCTCCCGGGTCTGTCTCCATGACAGGCCTCCCTTCCAGCGCAGCAGGGCTGGCAGGTGCTCAGCAGCACTACAACAAAGATAAACATTTATCAATATTGGAGATAGCAAGCCTGTACTCAAGCTAATCCCTATGTAATACAATTAAAGTCAGTGCTGTGGAGCATGCAGACTTTTGAAACCCTGTGGTATACTCTGTTTTACCTTGTACTGGAGCAGTCCCTCAGTATCTCACTGACTATTATCTTGAGACTTTCAATGTCGCTGCACTCTAGCACTTCTCGCACTTTAATCAGTATGATGTTCCACTGTTTAACATCAGGATTCTGATAAAAAGAACTCATGTCAGTAGAAGAATGGTGACCTTTTAAAGTAGTTACACATTCTGAGATGAACCACCTGCATCTTATCAGGTAGAAAGAAGGCATTTATAGTAACTGGTGTACAGGCCTAGCTTTCTCACCAGGCATGAGAAGATGGAGTGAAGGAGCTCAGCATCATGCATCACTCTTTTGCCCACATAATCCCATCTCTTCACCAGCTTCCCATGGTTACTCTGCACCAGGTGTTGGAGGTACAGAAGGGTGATGCGCTGATAGGCTTCGTTAATCACAGTCTACAGAGAGAAGGGACAGAGATGTATAAAACAATATACCGGAAAGAACAAGAGAGAAGTGTTGAGTATTTCACATTACAGTTTTGTTATAAGAATGCAATAGGAATGCTCTCACACCAGATGTGAACAGTAAACACACCTTTTGCGTGTCCTGGTCTTTGGGAAGGTAATGGAAATGTTTTTCAATTTCTTTCATTAGATTTTCCATTTGTTCATCCTCTCTTTTGAAATACTTCTTCAAGGAAATCTGGGATCACAAAACATTGTAACACCGTCCAGCTTCCCTTAATGGTTTCAATATAATTTAATACAAATTACGATTACAAAATTAATGTGTTCAAGAGTGCATATTGGAAGTGGGAACTTGTGGATTTTTAACAGATAGGCTTGGGGGGGGAATGCACCTGTGCAAGTTTAATTGGTCTTTCCAGGAGAAGCTTCCAAGAAAGAGCTTCCAACCCCTTAAGTGTTGAAATGGGTTTAACACAGTCAAAACTTGTGTCATCTCTGGCAATCCTTGAAATATACAGCCTGCAACAGAAACATAATCATTTCTAATCATAATGATTATCATGATTCAACAACGATACATGAGATTTGATTTCATAGCATAAGAAGAAAATATAAAACTTACTTGAGTTCATTGCAGGTGTTGAAAGTCTTGAAGAAGTGCATTGTACCTGACGTGCCCATTCTTGCTTGTTTCTGAAGGTGCTTCTTTTCAACATTGACATACCTGCACAGTTTAGCACATTCATTCAACATTTTGCCTGGTTTCGGTGCATTACCAGACAAACAGCAAGACAATGAAACAGTAGTGTGGTACTAAGAAAAGGTGACAACAACCTTTCCACAAAGTCCTGTAGCTCTTGCCAACAGACTATTTGGACCTTGAGCGTCAGAGTTTGGCTCATCATCTTTGCTTTCTGGAGCACAGCATTGATGCACTACGTAGAGGAGGAAGAGTTACAGGGAGAGAAATGTCTTAGTATAGATTTACAGTGATACACTTTATAATCTCTTTACACATCACTGCTGGTTGAAGTACCTGAATGACATCCAGATGCAGTTGGATAAAGGCCTCGTCTCCAGAGACACACACCTCTCTACCTGACTCCTCATTCTGAAGGATCCTCCTCAGTGATGTAGAGATGTCCTCCTACAATGGGTCAGAGAGAAAGAGAGACTGAAATGCGTAAAATCTTCACAGGAACTGCATGGGTTATTATCATATAAAATATGTTTAAAAATCAATACATGATAGAAATCTACCCCTCAAGAAGTAGGACCCCAGTACTAATTTGTTTGTTTTGAGATGACATCACCTATAGGTGATTCACCTGCACAGTGGCCAGGAGTTTCTTCTCAGCTTGTGGGATCCATTCTGTCAGAAGGAGAAGGTCAACTGCATGTAGAGCCTCATCCCAGAGGTCAGGGTGTCCTAGCAGCTCCTGACTAGAAAAACAACCCAGATGTTATGCTGTTTCACTCACCAATTACTGCTTTAGTATCAGAATCAGTACTATACCATCACAGTGAAAGTGAATAAGCGAGATAGAGAGACTGTGGGTGGGACAGAGTACCTCAAGTATGTGTGTAGTACCCAGTCAAGAACTGTGAAGGCCTCTTTTTTTGTGTTGACATGCTGTAGGATCTGATGTAGACAGTCAAACATACGCTGATGATAGCAAGCAATCAAATGCTTCAGCAACTGAACCTCTTTGAGCAGGGGTGCCAACCTCAGAAGCTCCACTAGCACAGTTCTTTGCATCTCTATCAGGAAGCCCTCCAGCTGATTCACAGTGTTCCCTACTGGCAGTTTGGGGAAGTGTTTGTCCACAGACGCTTCAATAAGATGAAAGTACCTCTGGAGCAAGACCTCTGGGTGTGTATCGTCCTTCTTCTGAGCCTCATGGCACATCATCTCTTCCCGTGGCCCCTCCAAATTAGCTTCAAGTCTCTCTTGAGGGACAACATGGCTGACCCTCAAAGCTTCTGCAAGTACATTGAGCAACGACTGTCCCTTCTCCTGACCCCCCAGATCGTCCAACTCCTGATGGTTGTTAAAGCCATTCTCCATGTAGGGATTCCCATACCCCACATTCCCGGTTTGGTCCTCTTCTGTGAATAATACCAATAATGCAATGCATTTGAATGAATACAGTGCTCAAAAAAACAAAACAAAAAAAACATAACACCATACTTTTTTGTTAGGGGGTAGATCAGCTTTAATATTGCAGATAGATTGTAACTTCCATCAATGTAATTGTCTGCATCACTTCCAATCCCCCATATCTTTTTTCTCTTTTTTTGTTCATTAAAATAACATCAAATTGATCAGAAATACAGTGTAGACATGGTTAATGTTGTAAATGGCTATTGTAGCTGGAAACGGCTGATTTTTAATGGAATATCTACATAGGCGTACAGAGGCCCATTATCAGCAACCATCAGTCCTGTGTTCCAATGGCACGTTGTGTTTGCTAATCCAAGTTTATCATTTTAAAAGGCTAATTGATCATTAGAAAACCCTTTGCAATTATGTTAGCACAGCTGAAAACTGTTGTGCTGATTAAAGAAGCAATAAAACTGGCCTTCTTGAGACTAGTTGAGTATCTGGAGCATCAGCAATTGTGGGTTCAATTACATGCTCAAAATGGCCAGAAACAAATAACTTTTTTCTGAAACTCGTCAGTCTATTCTTGTTCTGAGAAATTAAGGCTATTCCATGTGAGAAATTGCCAAGAAACTGAAGATCTCGTACAACGCTGTGAACTACTCCCTTCACAGAACAATGCAAACTGTCTCTAACCAGAATAGAAAGAGGAGTGGGAGGCCCTGGTGCACAACTGAGCAAGAGGACAAATACATTAGAGTGTCTAGTTTGAGAAACAGGCACCTCACAGGTCCTCAACTGGCAGCTTCATTAAATAGTACCCGCAAAACACCAGTCTCAACGTCAACAGTGAAGAGGCGACTCCGGGATGCTGACCTTCTAGGCAGACTTGCAAAGAAAAAGTCCAGTGTCTGTGTTCTTTTGCCCATCTTAATATTTTCTTGTTATTGGCCAGTCTGAGATATGGCTTTTTCTTTGCACCTCTGCCTAAGTCAGCATCCCGGAGTCACCTCTTCACTGTTGACGTTGAGACTGGTGTTTTGCGGGTACTATTTAATGAAGCTGCCAGTTGAGGACCTGTGAGGTATCTGTTTCGTTGTTTTGCATATCAGTTCATAAACACTATGCCATGGAATCAGTACGTCAAAAATCTCTTCCCAACTATTTTGCAATCTATATGGGATGGCTGTCAATCCTTTGGTCCTTAAATGAAACTGGTATACTTTTTTATTTATCAGAATTTTCTTTAACCAATTATGTTCTTTAATGCAGGGCCGACAGACAAGTTCATTACTTTTTCCTCATTCCACTTTCCTCTTCCATTTCTGCGGCAATGCTGCAATTATTTGGTTGTAATTTTGGGTAGAGCAGACATTTCCATATGTTTTTGTTAGCTGCATGTACAACATAACTCCACCAGTCCTACCTATGATATCATTTACGAAGATTATATATATTTTTTTTAAATTGTCAAAATATAATGTTTTTTTATCAATTAGTTTATTTGAGTTTAACCACAATATTTGTTGCATTATTTGTTCTGTCATTTCTGGAGGATTAAATTGAAATTGCAACCAACTTTCTATGGCTTGTTTTAGAAATAGTGATATTTGGGAGATTATTTCCTTTTCAAATAACTGAAAGTGAGAGGTTGTAATCTGAATAAAGGGAAAAGGGCCATTCTTGAACATTGGGTGAGACAATCTTACTAATTTGCTAGAGAACCAGTTCGGATTTAAGTATCACTTTTGTATGACTGAAGCTTTTAGTGATAGGTCTAATGCTTTAATATTGAATCATTTCTGTCCTCCAAATTCATATTCATTATATAAATAGGCCCGTTTAATTTTGTCTGGCTTGCCGTTCCAAATAAAATGGAATATTTTTTTCTCATATAATTTAAAAAACTGTTCGCTAGGCGTAGGCAAGACCATAAGCAAATAGGTCAACTGGGATAATACTAAAGAGTTAATCAGGGTGATTTTTCCACAAATTGACAGGTATTTACCTTTCCATGGTAGCAAGATCTTATCTATTTTTGCTAACTTTCTATTCAAATTCAAATTTACGGAGGCTCTCTGCACTGCTAAAGCTAACTCTCTCCTCTGCTCTTATCCTTCTAGACCTATCCACTGCCTTTGATACTGTGAACCATCAGATCCTCCTCTCCATCCTCTCCGAGTTGGGCATCTCCGGCGCTGCTCACTCTTGGATTGCGTCCTACCTGACAGCTCGCTCCTACCAGGTGGCGTGGCGAGAATCTGTCTCCGCACCACGTGCTCTCACCACTGGTGTCCCCCAGGGCTCAGTTCTAGGCCCTCTCCTATTCTCTCTATACACCAAGTCACTTGGCTCTGTCATATCCTCACATGGTCTCTCCTATCATTGCTATGCAGACGACACACAATTAATTTTCTCCTTTCCCCCTTCTGATAACCAGGTGGCGAATCGCATCTCTGCATGTCTGGCAGACATATCAGTGTGGATGTCAGATCACCACCTCAAGCTGAACCTCTGCAAGACGGAGCTGCTCTTCCTCCCAGGGAAGGACTGCCCGCTCCATGATCTCGCAATCACGGTTGACAGCTCCATTGTGTCCTCCTCCCAGAGTGCAAAGAACCTTGGCGTGACCCTGGACAACACCCTGTCGTTCTCCGCTAACATCAAAGCGGTGACCCGATCCTGCAGGTTCATGCTCTACAACATTCGCAGAGTACGACCCTACTTACACAGAAAGCGGCACAGGTCCTAATCCAGGCACTTGTCATATCCTGTCTGGATTACTGCAACTCGCTGTTGGCTGGGCTCCCTGCCTGTGCCATTAAACCACTACAACTTATCCAGAACACTGCAGCCCGTCTGGTGTTCGACCTTCCCAAGTTCTCTCATGTCACCCCGCTCCTCTGCACACTCCACTGGCTTCCATCTACTACAGGACCATGGTGCTTGCCTACAGAGCTGTGAGGGGAACGGCACCTCCTTACCTTCAGGCTCTGATCAGAACCTACACCCAAACGAGGGCACTACGTTCATCCACCTCTGGCCTGCTAGCTCCACTACCTCTACGAAAGCACAGTTCCCGCTCAGCCCAGTCAAAGCTATTTGCTGCTCTGGCACCCCAATGGTGGAACAAGCTTTCCAGCCCTGGAGTTTTCCCGGAATTAAAGTCTTTAATTGCATCCAGAAGTTCCTCCTCTGTAATTTCACCTTCACATGAGTCTTTCTGTATGGCTGTTAATTTTACATTATCAATATAAAAAAAATCTCTACAATTAGCTTCAGTTAGAGGAGATGGAGGCGACTGAAACGAAAACATATGCTTAAAGTACTTTGCTTCCTCCTTCAAAATATAATTTACCGAATCATGGGTGACTCCGTCATTTGTAACCAGTTTCAGAAAATTATTTTTGGTAGCATTTCTATGTTGACGATTAAAAAAATATATATATTCCATCCAGTTTCCTTTATTTTTATAATATATTACACTTTATATTTCTTGAATAGGTTTCTTCATTTCTTTTGTTTTTTCCTCTAATTTATTCTGAGCCTCTATGTTACAGTTTTTATTGCTATCTATCTGTTCTGTTAGACCTTCTATTTCCTTTGTTAGTATGGACTCTTTTGACCTAAATTGCATTTGTTTTCGAGATGAGTACTGAATTGCATGGCCTCTAAATGCACATTTAAAAGTGTCCCATACAATAAGGGGATTTGCTCTACCTATGTTATGTCGGAAAAAATCAGTTATACAGTGAGGGAAAACAAGTATTTGATCCCCTGCTGATTTTGCACATTTGCCCACTGACAAAGAAATTATCAGTCTATAATTTTAATGGTAGGTTTATTTGAACAGTGAGAGACAGAATAACAACAAAAAAATACAGAAAAACGCATGTAAAAAATGTTATAAATTGATTTGCATTTTAATGAGGGAAATAAGTATTTGACCCCTCTGCAAAACATGACTTAGTACTTGGTGGCAAAACCCTTGTTGGCAATCACAGAGGTCAGACGTTTCTTGTAGTTGGCCACCAGGTTTGCACACATCTCAGGAGGGATTTTGTCCCACTCCTCTTTGCAGATCTTCTCCAAGTCATTAAGGTTTCGAGGCTGACGTTTGGCAACTCGAACCTTCAGCTCCCTCCACAGATTTTCTATGGGATTAAGGTCTGGAGACTGGCTAGGCCACTCCAGGACCTTAATGTTCTTCTTCTTGAGCCACTCCTTTGTTGCCTTGGCCGTGTGTTTTGGGTCATTGTCATGCTGGAATGCCCATCCACGACCCATTTTCAATGCCCTGGCTGAGGGAAGGAGGTTCTCACCCAAGATTTGACGGTACATGGCCCCGTCCATCGTCCCTTTGATGCGGTGAAGTTGTCCTGTCCCATTAGCAGAAAAACACCTCTAAAGCATAATGTTTCCACCTCCATGTTTGACGGTGGGGATGGTGTTCTTGGGGTCATAGGCAGCATTCCTCCTCCTCCAAACACGGCGAATTGAGTTGATGCCAAAGAGCTCGATTTTGGTCTCATCTGACCACAATACTTTCACCCAGTTCTCCTCTGAATCATTCAGATGTTCATTGGCAAACTTCAGACGGGCCTGTATATGTGCTTTCTTGAGCAGGGGGACCTTGCGGGCGCTGCAGGATTGCAGTCCTTCACGGCGTAGTGTGTTACCAATTGTTTTCTTGGTGACTATGGTCCCAGCTGCCTTGAGATCATTGACAAGATCCTCCCGTGTAGTTCTGGGCTGATTCCTCACCGTTCTCATGATCATTGCAACTCCACGAGGTGAGATCTTGCATGGAGCCCCAGGCCGAGGGAGATTGACAGTTCTTTTGTGTTTCTTCCATTTGCGAATAATCGCTCCAACTGTTGTCACCTTCTCACCAAGCTACTTGGCGATGATCTTGTAGCCCATTCCAGACTTGTGTAGGTCTACAATCTTGTCCCTGACATCCTTGGAGAGCTCTTTGGTCTTGGCCATGGTGGAGAGTTTGGAATCTGATTGATTGATTGTTTCTGTGGACAGTTGTCTTTTATACAGGTAACAAGCTGAGATTAGGAGCACTCCCTTTAAGAGTGTGCTCCTAATCTCAGCTCATTACCTGTATAAAAGACAACTGGGAGCCAGAAATCTTTCTGATTGAGAGGAGGTCAAATACTTATTTCCCTCATTAAAATGCAAATCAATTTATAACATTTATGACATGCGTTTTTCTGGATTTTTGTTGTTGTTATTCTGTCTCTCACTGTTCAAATAAACCTACCATTAAAATTATAGATTGATCATTTCTTTGTCAGTGGGCAAACGTACCAAATCAGCAGGGGATCAAATACTTTTCCCCCTCACTTTAAATAGTTAAAAACAAATTATCATCCAATAGGCTTTGATTAAATTTCCAATATCCTCGCCCACGTGGAAATTCAGTAAGAGTAATGTATATGCCAATTATATGATGGTCCGACCGCATTCTGTCCCCTATCAACACTTTTTAAACTTTTGGTGCCAACGAGAATTACATAAGAAAGAAGTCAAGACGACTAGCTTGATTGAGTCTCCACCATGTATATCTCCCTAGATCAGGATATTTAAGCCTCCATATATCTACAAGTTCTAATGTATCCATGACATTCACGATTGCCTTAAGAGCATGAGGGTGATAGTTTGTAGTGTGATTTCCTTTACGGTCCATTGTGCTATTTAAAACAGTATTATAATCTCCCAGTCTTGTATTGCTTGCAGGGTTGATCATTTATTATTTATATTGTCAACGAAGTGTGGATCATCATTATTTGGTCCGTAAAGGTTAATGACCCATATCTGTTTATGGTCCAATAACATATTTAAAATAATCCATCTACCTTGACGATCTGTTTGGACAATTTGCACATTCGGATCGAAATTACTGTTAATTAATATCAATCACCCCTTTTGAGTTTCTTTGCTCATGGGAGAAGTATATTTTTAAATATATATATATTTAAAAATATATATATTCAAATATCTTGCATATCTTAATTTCCATAATTATCAATTAATATGCGTAATAATGTCGGCAGTTCATGCGTAGGATTGTTACCTATAACCCGGATTGCCATAGTATTACATTACATTTTTGTCAAGCAATTATTATTTTAGCAAACAATTATTGTGGTTCATCTTATATTCTCCCTAACATCCTTACCCCCTTGCAACAGATGTGGGATAAACACACACACACGCACATACTCTAACACACTCAACCCCTTTCCTCCACAATCAACCATAAGATCAGATGCTCAACGGTTGTTTCATCCCAGAGCCCAACTCAAGAAAGGACCTGATTTACGAATGCATATACAGTTACAGCCGTTTGAGAAAGCATGCAAGATTGAGCAAAGATTGACAACAATGTGAGATTTGATTAATCTATGTCAAGTCCTAGGTGATGGAGATCAGATCCACCCTCTTCCCCTGAGACAAACACTCTGGTCCCCCGTTGTAACCATTTTTCCCAAGCATCTCCGTGCAGTCAGACCTTTGATTATTTTGTGCCACCAGGGCCACAATAATATGCCCCCTCTCTGATTGTCCGAGTGTGACCCCCTCCCCATGGGTTACTGCAGCCAGTGTTGCCAGCACTGCCACTACCTGGGTGGGGGTACCACACCGGCTAGGTACAAGGTCGTCAAGGTTCTCATTAGCAGCTTTGAGAATTTCCTTGTATATTATGCTCTCCCATCTGGGGTCTCTGGCTTTGTAGGACCAACCCTGCCAGGCAGGCTCAGAATCTTGAGGGGGCGGTGCTGCTCAAGTAGGTATCTGACCGCATTTATTTTTCTGTTTTGGCTGCATATAGGCAACTCACAGCAGGGCCATAAAACAGATGGGGACTTCTCTTTGGTGTATGGGTCGCTCAGGTGGGTGTCTAAGATATAGGGTTGGGGATCATTCCATCATGATAGGCCAATAAAAAAATAGATTAGATGTATACTTTATTTCAAAATGTATATCCCTCATCTGCACAAAATTGAAAGCTCTCTCACAACCCCTGCTCACAGACACACGTTGGTTCTGGGATATGCAACCATTTCCTTTCTCACTCACTTAACGCCACACTTTTTCAAACACAAAAACGCACACCACACCTTCCATCACAATTCATCCACACATACCCACATACTGTGCCTTCTATGTCTTCTGTCTGCTATGTTTTTATCTCCACTATGTTCATTGAGTACTTGTGTTCTAATTAGTTGTATTTGAAGATGTATTATTTTGCTTGTTATCTTTTCTTGTAATACCGTCTTATCCCTTTATAAAATATTAGAAATACTATAAATGTGCTTTATTATTACAATCCCTACCATGGCTAGTATTGGGTGTTCCATTATTCGACTCCTCTATTAGAACTTTCAGAATAGCCATGGAGTAGTCTTTGTGTCGCGGAACATTTGGTTGTCAATATACAGTTTATCGACAACAAGAGCAACACGCTTCCCTTTTAATCTATTTTCCTTGAAGATTGGGTACAGAACTTTGCGCCGTTCTGCAATCTCCCTCGGGAACTGATCATTCATGCCTATTTTCGTGCCAGCAAGTCTTTTACCTAGGCTTTTAACCATTACTTTATCCTTAAAGAAAGCAAATTTGGCAACGATTGGACGCTCATATCTCTGTCCTCTTTGTCCAAAACGGTGTACACGTTCGAGTTGGATTTTATCGACAGCCTCGAGTGGGATTTGAATCGCTGTGAGAAAGAAGTCCTTCACAATTTTTTCAGTAACCTCTCCTTTTTCTTGGATAACTGTAAGTACTAGATTTTCTCTCATCGATCTAGTTTGTATGTCTACTAAGGCTTCTCTCAGAAAGTTGTTCTCCTTTTTAAGTTCCTTAACGTCCGTTTCTATCTTAGTGACTGCCCCTTTCAGTTTTTTTGTGTCGTTTTCCATTATCGCAGCTTTTTCGTCACTAATTTCAAGACTCGCCTTCAACTCTTTTACATCATTACTGACCAACTCTAGTATGCCCAGTTTGTCATTTATCGACTTCAACAGATTGCTTTCCACACTTACCAGTCCCAGTGGTGAAAAGCATAAATCATCTGTATCAGTTGAGGAGTCGCATTTCCTCTTGGAGATTGATTCTCCTTGTTTATCCTCTGTCATGTTTGAGTGTTGCTTGTTGTAATATTTGTCGATACATTTCTCTAGCCTTATGATTTGTTTTGTGTTATTATCCGCGAATATATGAAGTGCTAATATTTAGTCTAACTTACTGATATTGAATATTATGTTTTTATCTTGAGGTGATTCGCACCGCTGTGTATTCAATTTGCCATCTTGTCTACCGGAAGTCCTGTTTGTTTACTGAAATCACCATATATGTATTCTTAGTTTATTCATTATAAATTGAATATTGTTTGTTTTGGTCATGCTATTATTACATTACAATAATTGATCCCAACAAATGTAGACATATCTTCTTGCTTATGGAACAAACAAATACTCAGACAAACAATAGGTAGACCATAATAATAATCATCATCATCTGGAGCTCACCATCTGCAGGCAGTGTACTATTCTTAATCAAAGGACTCTTGTCCTCTCTTCCCAATGGCTTACTCTTTCTGCTCATCAAGTTGAATCTCTTCATTGTTCTCTTCTGGGTTGATTGTCTGACACACCAATTGCCACAAAAGGCACCACTGCTGAACTCAACTGGTCCTCAGTCAGAATCCAAGTAGGTGGATATGATGGAGCAGGTGCATGTACAGATGACGAATACTGTAAGTCACAGTTTGTCAACCAACCACCAATATCCATACAATTGACTGTTTGCCGAACTATATAGACTAATGCTGGAGCAGGGAATTCCCCCATTATCCCGATTGGAGAGACACCACAGTCAGTGTTGCTTTCAGTTTCTGTGGCTGCATTGTACTGTCCTGTACACCTATATCCCATTACATGTTGAACAATACACTCATTGTGAAGACTTTTTAATGATAATCCTGTTAATAGACTAATTGAACTGTAAAAGGGACTAGCTGATGACAGGAAACAATATATTTTAAGGTAAACATTCTGGAGGTTATAGTCTGAACAAATGAGCATTATGCAGCACTTCCCTAACTGGGTGATGGTATGAGTCAACTGTTTTGATTTCCCCCAAACTTTCCCAGGTCGGGAACAATTTCAAGGAGTGGGGGAATATTTGGTATACTCCTTAATAACAACTGCTCTATCTGGTTGTTTCACTCAACGTTTACATAATCAAATTCCCCAACCATTCCTCCTGGAAGGGGCTCTGGATAAAGGTGATTACTAATCCACTCATAACAGGCCCTGACAAGCTGTTGGTCTGGTTTCATAGAAAAAAAAAGAAGAGGGAAAAGTACTGTAGGCCTATTTGTGTCTGCCACAGTAGACATATATATGATTGACTGAGAAATATAATTTATTGAAGTATGAAACCAAAGGCTGTTTGTTTTACAACAGCTAACCAGAGATGTGGGTGGGGCAGTGGGTGTGGTAGTGTTTGTGTATCAGGATAAAGAGAATTTTCCCAGGTGAACGCTAACCTTTCCTTTCCCTTGTTGTTGACATGACAATCATGATTATTCAAAGCTGAGCTAATGATGATGCAATCATTTTATCAGTACCAGAGAGGAAGAGGCAAAGCCATAGACCACCTTTGTCAGTACTAATCACAAGGGGACATGCTGTTGGGGGCACTGAGCTATACATGTAGTGACTTCAGAAAGTAATCAAACCCCTTGACTTTTTCCACATTTTGTTGTGTTACAGCTTGAATTTAAAATTGATTTAATTGACATGTGTGTAACTGGCCTACACTCAATACCCCAATATGTCAAAGTGGAAGTATGTTTTTAGACATTTCTACAAATTAATAAAATAAAATAAATTGTCTTGAGTGAATAAGTATTCAATCCCTTTGTTATGGCAAGCCTAAATAAGTTTTAAAATGTGCTTAATAAGTCACATAAGTTGCATGGACTTACTCTGTGTGCAGAAATAGTGTGTAACGTTTTTTGAATGGCTACCTCATCTCTGTACCCCATACATACAATTATCTGTAAAAATAAACGGAATAGAGCTAAGCACAGGCAAAATCCTAGAGGAAAACCTGGTTCAGTCTACTTTCCAACAGACACTGGGAGACAAATTCACCTTTCAGCAGGACAATAACCTAAAACACAAGGCCAAATATACACTGGAATTGCTTACCAAGATGCCATTGAATGTTCCTGAGTGGCCTAGTTACAGTTTGGACTTAAATCAGCTTGAAAATCTATGGCAAGAACTGAAAATTGTTGTATAGCAATGATCAACAACCAATTTAACAGACCTTGAAGAATTTTGAAAAGAATAAAAGACAAATGTTGCACAATCCAGGTGTGGAAAACTCTTAGAGACTTACTCAGAAACACTCACAGCTGTAATCACTACCAAAGGTGATTCTAACATGTATTTACTCAGGGGGTTGAATACTTATCTAATCAAATATATTTGTGTTATTTTTCATGTTTTTTTTTTTTACAAATTTTTGAATTGTTCTTCCTCTTTGATATTGAGTATTTTATGTAGATCTTTGACAAAAAATTACACTTAAATCCATTTTAATCCCACTTTGCAACACAACAAAATGTGGAAAAAGTCAAGGGGTGTAAATACTTTCTGAAGGCACTCTATATTGGGGTTGGGGGACTGCAGGGGAGTGATATGAGGGAGGGGCCTTCACCAAATACATTTTAATTGAATCTGCATAGAGAAAGTTGTTTTTGTTTGTGTTTAATAATGTCCAATATTCTCAACATCAGTACTATTGCATTGAATAGTTTAAAATGTGTGTTGTGTTTTATTTGCTTGATATGGTCATTGTGTGTAAATAGACAGAACTATAGTGAAATCAACAGTTTCGTAGTTATTATAATTGGGACCATAATGTACAAATATATGTAGTAAAATGTATCAGAGAAGTTGAATTTGTCCATCAGTGGAGCATATACTGATACAGTGTGGGCAGTCTAAGAGAGAAAGAGAGAGACTGAGATCCAGTATGAAGGAAAGGGGGATACAGGAATTGAGTTTAAAGAGCATACTGAGTAGAACATAATTAGATACAGTCTCAAATATTTTGTTATTTAAAAAGAAACTGGGCTGGCAGGTAGGATTAATAACTTCCTCCCTGTCTCTGGCCCACACTCCACTACATCAACCCCATCGAAGAAGAAGAAGGATTTGTCCAATGGGTGAAAGGGGAGGGCGGGGATAACCAGTTGTGCAGACAGTTCACGTTTTGGCTACAGAAGAATCATCCCGTATGACGTAGCTCTAGCATTGACAGAGAAGGATGAGGAGGCACTAGCAACAATTCCATGGAGACTTACCCCCACACCAGTGTGTCACCAGTGTTTTATGTTCATGTAAACTCAAGTGTAATTGTGTTTCCAATAGAAGTGTGACACTAAAAACTTTGGGAGAGCAGAATCAACAACCTCTGCATCATCAAGACAGTTGCTTTGTGTGAAGGTGTTAAAATTCACAGTTAGCCATTGTTATGTAAATGCCAGCTGAAAAGTACCAGTGGCCTGGCTTTGGCCCCAGGTGAAAGTAGGTCCACTGGAGCCATGGCCCAGTGAGACACAGGTGCTGGTCCGCGTAGATGGAAACAGAAAAGTCTGAGCCTTTTGGGTAAAACACTGGGGTAAATCCTGCATGGAAATGCGCCATCTGGGAGAATCTCAATTGCATACTCCTTGCGTCCTCTCTCCTCGCCTTCTTCTCAAAACCCATTAGATGAGAAAGCCAGAAGTCCATCCCCTCTGACCTTCTCTTCCAATGGGTCGTGTGTAGCTTTTTGGTGCAGGGCACCCCTCAAGGGGGTAATATCTGGTGTTTCATGGGAAGTCGAGATGGAATAAATAAAAAATATCCCTGGAGTGATTGATGCACATTGGATGAATTGAGTAGTTAATGGAGAGAAAGTGAAGAGTATCTGTACTTTTGTTTTTTGAAGCGAAGTCCCTACCTACCGAGGTGAAGTTGGGGTATATTAATTACCGTTTAAGAGTCTTTGTCCCTAGATTGCTGCAGTGTAATCACTGTAGTGCCTTTGGACATGTGGAAAGTGTCTGTAGATGAAAGAAGCAAAGGTGTGAAAGTTGTGGAGATCACATTGAGTGTGGTTTGAGTTTTGACCATGTGAAATTTTTCAATTGTGGTGGGAACCATGTTGCTTCATCTTTGGAATGCCCGATGAGGGTGAAGGAAAATTAAGTGGCTAAATTCAAGGCCAACCAGAACATATCATATGCATCGGCTGTCAAGAGGGTTGAGGGGGCGAATGTTCCTGAAGAGCCCATAGTGGTGGATAGGCATTCACTGTAGGCAGCAGGGGTTGCCTCTCATCAGTAGGACCCAGATATTCTACAGGTTAAGAAGGTGGACTTTGTACTTATGGCTATGGTGATCAATGTCACTGCCAACGTGGAGAAAAAGTCTAGAAAGATGGATATCATTGTGGATGCGGCAGAGCGGTTTCTGGGATTGGAGGACTTCTCGGCGATGGAGTTACATGAAAGGCTGTCACGAGCCGTACTACCCCCTGAGTGGGTTGATGGAACTTTGAAGGATGGAAGAAGTGGGAGTCTGTTCCCTTTCAGTCGGTCACTCGGTATAACATACTATGGGGAGTCAACAACCAATCACATTCCCTTGAAGAAAACTAAAAACACGCCCAAAGGGCAGAGCCCACCCTCGGAAACCCCGCCTTCCTGGCTATAACACCGTGGCTCACATTAATTTCCTCAATTGTTCACTCTTCAGCTCGCCTGAAGGAGAATGTGTCACGCAATTTACAAGCATACAAAGACTACTGGAGTCCATCCTAGGTGTCTGTTAGTGGGGAGAGATTACTCGTCCCCCTAGATATTGCGAGTTTTGGGTCTTGTTATTGGTTTTTGTGTTTGCTAAAAGCAAATTACTTTCTGCTCGTGTAGCTAATGCTTCCTTGCTTGGGTAGGATTTGTGTTTGCTAAAAGCCTAGCACTTCTGCTCTGCTTGTGTAGCTAGTGCTTCCTTGCTTGAGTAAGATGGACAGTGGTAAGTGTAAGCCTAGGGCATGATACTCACAAGTGCTGTCCTGTTTGCCTGGGGTGGAAACACACTCAGGCTGCCTTGGCTTGGAACAGTTCGTGTGACCGATGTCACCGGCTGAGTTCAGACTCAATTGTTCACTGAATTCTTAGGAAGATTGGGGTTACTGGAGAAGGCCCTCTCTTTTTTTAAAATCAGTGTTAAGGCGGCCTCAGGGCTGCCGGAGACAGGTAGAGAGTGTGTGGGCTACTCGGAAAGGGGAGTTTGGTCGACAGCACTAAGAGCGCTGCATATCAATTACCTGGAGCTACTGGCTGTTTTCCTGGCGGTGAGGAGTTTTCTTCCGATATTGGAGGGACAGCATATGTTGGTAAGGTCCGACAACAGGACGTCAGTGGCGTACATCAACAGGCAGGGGGAGACGCGTTCTCTCTCTCTCCTGAACCTGGTCTGTTATCTGCTCAAAGGGAGCAGTGCGCATTTCTTGTCGCTCAGGGTGACAAAGCTTCCAGATCTCTCAACATGGGTGCGGAACTACTTTCCAGGGGGGGTCCTCTCTCAATGGAGTGGAGACTTCACCCCTTGGTGGTTGCCCACATTTGGGATCCGTTCGGAAAGGCAGACATAGATCGTTACGCGATCACGAGAAAACAAGCATTGTCACCTGTTCTTCTCAAAGAGGGATCTGGACGCACTGTTGGGAACGGATGCTTTGGCGCATCAGTGGCCTCTGGCTCGGCTTTATGATTTTCCTCCAGTGGACCTGATTCAGGCGCACGGGAGGGTTTGGCACCCACGATATGGAATCTGTGGGTTTGGCCCAATTAAAGGCTGAAATTGACAGCTAGGTGTTTAGCGTTGAATGTGATTACGACTATACAGTCGGTGCGAGAGCCCTCTACAAGGGGTTGTATACGTATAAGTGGCACGCGTTTGAGGGTTGGTGTCAGATTAAAGGAGTTTTTCCTTTTCACAGCTCTTTTGATGTTCTTGCAAGAGCTTTTTGAGCAGGGCTTTTATTTTCCTACACTGATGGTTTGTGGCCATCTCGGCGTGTCTTGTAGGGATTGATGGCTCTACCCTGGGGTCTCATCCTCTGTTGGTGCGGTTCCTGAAAGGCGTGCATCGGCTCAGACCAGTATCTAAGCCTATGGCACCGACCTGGGACCTGGCTTTGGTCCTGGATGCTCTGTGTGAGCCTCCTTTTGAACCATTGGAGTCTGTGGACCTGTAGGTCCTTTCCTACAAGACTGCCCTGCTCATGGCCTTGGCGGCCAAGCGTGTTGGGGCAATCTCCACGGCAATCTTTCGCTTCTAAGGTTATGCCTATATCCTACAGGTCTCTTGTAGCTCAGTTGGTAGAGCATGGCGTTTGCAACACCAGGGTTGTGGGTTCGATTCCCACGGGGGGCCAGTATGAAAAAATAATAATTATGCACTAACTGTAAGTTGCTCTGGATAAGAGTGTCTGCTAAATGACTTAAATGTAAATGTATCTAGCTTTTGAGCTGTTTCCTGTGTCACCTCCTCCGTTTGCTTCCAGTGAACAACGGAGGTTGCATTACCTCTTTCTGGTGCGCACTTTACGCACGTATATGGATAGGATCAAGAATATCTGTGTTTGTGACCAGCTTTTTGTCTGTTTCGCTAATCCAGCTCGGGGTAGGGCGCTTTCTAAGCAGCGTCTTTCTCATTGGATTGTGGAGGAACCAATGGGGTGCTCGAAGGGGAGGCGTTCATGCAGGAACTGAGGGGGAGGGGGTGGGTTCATGAAGGAACCAATGGGATGGTCGAGGTGGGGGGCGTTCCTGCAGATGAATGCCCACATGCAGAAACGCCCTGAACTGCGGGCTGCAATTGCACACTATTGAGATCCGAGGTGAAGAGGGCGACCACATTTAAAATACTCAAAGGTGGGACAAAAGGATGATTTTGCGGAACATTCCCGGGACACAGTATCCTACATAAATAAAAACAAGTACTAAACAAGCACCACTGTGCTCAGGCAGCACTACACCCCTGCAGTCCGCAGCACCGAACAAGCAAAGCAATTAAAGCGCTCCTAGCCTACTCTTTTGACTCATGCAAAATTTGATGATGCAGAAAGAGAGACGACATGTGTGGCTGTTTTATGAAAATCTGGGAATATTTGGCCAAGGAAACATTTCTGGTTGATCTCAGCCAGGGAATGGAAAAACACTTAGGTAGGGTGACTTTTAAAATGGGATTGAGTGAAGTAGCAGCAAATATGTTGAATGAGCAACTAATGAGCATGGAGAGCCTTACAAGTTTGACAAAATGACCTATCTTTCAGTCTAATACAGCTATTTACTTACTTTGTAGCTCTTCATCATAAGCACGCTTTTTGTAAGTAGTTAGGTGCTGTCCTCTCCAAGTTTAGCTGGAATTAATAGCCCGAAAGGATTTGAGAAATATGATTGGTTGACGATCTCGTCTTGTGCTGCACAGAACATCAGATCTCAACAACGATTGGAGAGGTGTTTAACGTCACCAGCCAGCAAAGGCCAAATCAAACGAAACGTAAACTAGCATTGCTTTGCGTATCTACGCAAGAAAAATAGACTTGCTTTCTAATTTGAAGTTAATGAATCTTTTGACAGCGTTGATGCTCGCTGCCCGTCTGTTTTCTGTCATTCACGAACGTGCATTCTAATTCCAGCGCTTGTTTGCGTTTCGTTTGATTTACGCCTTGATCACACCGATAGGGTCATTGCGCAAAATAGTATGCAGCATCATCTGGATATGTGTGCAACAAAAGTTAAACATTCACCTTCTGCTACCATTTCTGTGAATCCGTCTACGCATACAGTTTGGCATATGTTCGATAAATCCAATTTATGCACCACACAGATCGCACTGGAACTGCCTCTGCAACGCAATGCTGCAAGGACAACGCAGTGTTCCATTGGAAATGAATGTACTTCTGGTGAACCAAAATGCAATGATGTCGGTGTGAGCGAGGCGTAAGCCTCCAATGGCTACCACATCCTTATGATAGCCTATATAGGCCAGTGGAGGCTGCTGAGGGGAGGACGGCTCATAATAATGGCTGGAATGGAGTGATTCGAATGGCATCAAACACATCGAAACCATGTGTTTGATGTATTTGATACGATTCCACTGATTCTGCTCCAGCCATTACCACAAGCCCGTCCTCCCCAATTAAGGTGCCACCAACCTTATCAGCCTATATTTTCATAAGACAGATCGGAATGTCTTACTGAAATACGGGACAGATCAACCTTTTTTTCTACATTAGAGGTGTTTGGTTGCGGGAGGCGGGACAAAGGGCCAAACTGCGGGACTGTTGCCGCGTTCACATGCTAGTCGGAACTAGGAAACTCTGACATTTCCGAATTGCTAACTGGTTGTAGTTATACACGTGCTGGGGTTAATTAATCAGCAAGCCGGAAATGTCCTAGTTCCTAGTTCCGACTAGCATGTGAACGTGGCATGCCCCGCACAATAAACCCATAGAGATCCTATTAAATTACTAATTCCTAATTATATGCATAAGACCATAGAGATCCTATTAAAGATACACTATGCAGAAATCACTCCTCCATTTCCTGGTTGCTAAAATTCTAATAGTTGGCCTAATTTCAGAATGTGACAAAACAAGCAAATATAGCGTGAAATATATTTTCCATAACCAAAAATATTGTATTTTCAGCTGGTGTACAAAACCGAAAGTAAAAGATGCAAAAACGAAATTTAAGAACCGTTAGCATATAAATAGTCAGTGGTGGAAAAAGTACCCAATTGTCATACTTGTGTAAAAGTAAAGATACCTTAATAGAAAATTACTCAGGTAAAAGTGAAAGTCACCCAGTAAAATACTACTTGAGTAAAAGTCTAAAAGTATTTGTTTTTAAATATACTTAAGTATCAAAAGTAAATGTAATTGCTAAAATATACTTAACTATCAAAAGTTAAAGTATAAATAATTTCAAATTCCTTATATTAAGCAAACCAGACAGCACGATTTTCTTGTTTTTTAAATTTACGGATAACCCTCAGACATCATATACAAACAAAGCATTTGTGTTTAGTGAGTCTGCCAGATCAGATGCTGTAGGGATGACCAGGGATTTTCTCTTTAAGTGCATGAATTGGACAATTTTCCTGTCCTGCTAAGCATTCAAAATGTAAAAAGTACTTTTGGGTGTCAGGGAAAATTGTATGGAGTAGAAAGTACATTATTTTCTTTAGGATTGTAGTGGAGTAAAAGTAAAAGTAGTCAAAAATATAAATAGTAAAGTAAAGTACAGATACCCCAAAAAACTACTTAAGTAGTACTTTAAAGTATTTTTACTTAAGTACTTTACATCACTGGAAATAGTGCACATAGAAACGATCTACTGCTTCTTAGACTTGCTTTGAATGAGAGTTACAGCACTATAACACACATTTATATATGAATTTGGTTGGGTCGCCCAAAAAATTTAGCTTTAAATCCCTAATTCTATGATTAAGATCATGCACCATAATAGGATGTTGCTGCGTTCAAATGATCTGGGAACTCGGACTTCAGTGCATTCAAGAAAACTAGGACCTCTGAAGAAAACGTGCTCCGACTCGGAAAAATAGTTTTGAACTTGATCATCCAACTCCGAATCCAGTTGTCTTGAAAGCACCATAGGAATTCGGTCAAATTGTGAAGTCACTGATCTTTAGTTCGGAAAAGTCCGAGCTCTAGGATGATCCCCGAGTTTCCGACTTGGAATTCGTTTATCCGAGTTCCCAGTTGTCTTGAACGCTCTGAAGTCTGATTTCGGAGATTCCCGAGTTCCATGTTCCCAGTTATCCCCGAGTTTCCGACTTGGGATTCGTTTTTCCGAGTTCCCAGTAGTCTTGAACGCTCTGAAGTCTGATGTCGGAGATTCCCGAGTTACATTTTCCCAGTTGTCTTAAACGCGGCAATTGTCTGCAGTAAAACCCCACAGAAGAAGCAGTAGCATTGAAAAAGAACGTTCGAGAGGTAAGCAATTTTACTGTTGCCCATCTGATAGTTGTCTAGCTAGCAATTGTTTTGTGGTATTATGTTATATTTAGCCAAAGCTAGTTAGTTAGGCAACATACAAAAAAAACTAGCTAAAGTTAGCGCGAGAGTATCAACGTGCTAGCTATCCGCATTATCTAGTTAGCAAGTTTCTACTGACTGATTTATTTTCGCGTTTCCTTAGGTACCCCAACTCTGAGGGCGACCAGAATATTTTCACAATAGGGGCAAGAATCTGCTGGGTCGTGTATCACCTCCGAAGTTCACGACACTTATTTTGCCACCACAAGCCTAGCAACACATCAGCTATTGGTAACCCTTCACGGCGCCTCTTGGACGACCAGCGGTGTGTTTATGTCTTTGTTTTACGAAATCGGTGAGTGTATTATGACTATAGAAAGATAAAGGTGCTATCGTAAATATATATATACCTTTTTGTTGTATGTATATTTTAGTGTACTTATATAATGAAATTATTTGCGTGTGTCTTAACTAAGAATATCAAAATGGCGTCTCCCCATGTCTCGTGCCATCTGATGACGCACTCTGCAGTGCCAACTAGTAGTTATGCCGCGTTCAAAACAATCGGGAACTCGTATACTTACGAGGGTAAATCATGACGTCGGGAATCTTCAGATCGGAGCTCTAGAAAGAGTTGGAATTCAAACGTTTTTTCCCAGTCGGAGCTCGCTCCCCACCCCCCCGGCGATTTCCGAGTTCCAAGCGCCCAGTTGTTTTGAACGCGGCATGAATGGTGCTTTCAAGATAACTGGGAACTCGGAAACGAGGTCGAATCATGACATCAATGCTCTTCAGGTCGGAAAGTCGAAACTCTACAAAGATGCCAGAGATTTCCGAGTTGGATGACCCTTCTAAAATATTTTTACCAATCTGAACTCGTTTCTTCTGAGTGGCCAGTTGTCTTGAACGCCATGAAGTCGGAGATTTCCGAGTTCCCCGTTGTTTTGAACTCTGCTTACGCTAGCTTCATCAGTCAGGCTTTCTGGTTGCTAATCTACCCAACCTCGTTTGTGAGTGGTATGGTTTGTATGTCGAAGTGAAAGAATGTGCATCGTTAATTGTATTAGCTAGCTAACGGTAAAGCAAAATAAATTGCCTAACAAGTTATCTAACCCAATGACGTGGTGAATAACTGCTCTAGTCGTGAAGATGGCTAGTTTCGTCGGTTAGAGTAAGATTTGAATTTGATTTTGTCTAAAGCTACCAGTGTCTTCCAACTCGTGACTTGAACACATTGAGATGTTAATGCCTGGTCGAAATTGGAGGACAATGAGCTAAATGTAAGACTGCCTTTTCGTCTTTTCTCGTAATTGAGTTTGACAATGTCAACGGTGAAATTTCATAAGAGCCACACTATGGACACATTGGGTAGCTAACAACATACTTAACAACTAACGTTATACAGATTGTTACTAAAAGGTCAAGTCATAGAATTATATAGGCTACCTGGGTATTCAATAAAAGCCATTGCCATCTAGGAAGTTATCAGAATCTGTGGTACTAGAGCTGATGACTGTGCCTTTCTCCCTCTTTCAGAGCTGTTGTGCAGCTGTTACAACCTGTGTGGGGGAAACCTAGTCTACGAGCAAGGAGCTTGTGGCCACTGTGGCAAAATCTTTTTCATGTCAGAGACCGAGCACGCTTGCAGTCGTTTATGTCATCCCCTATTTTCCAAACAGAAGATCCCGAAAAATCCCCTTTCAAGATATTTTCATCTTACTGATAGTGCCAGTAGCCAGCCAAAATGTCTGTTAATGTCAACCGCAGCGTGGCAGACCAGTTCTATCGCTACAAGATGCCCCGTCTGATTGCTAAGGTGATTATCTGGTGTAGTATGATCCTGTAAGAGAAATTACTTTGTCATTCAACATTCTTGATATTTGCATCTTTGGACAGTATGTTTGTTCCAGTTCTTTTCCAATGAAATGTGCAGGCCTCAATGGTGATAATCTGCAACACGATTCTACTAATTTATTAGTTTTTGTGGTCTGATTTGTGTCCAGGTTGAGGGCAAAGGAAATGGAATCAAGACTGTCATTGTCAACATGACTGATGTTGCAAAGGCACTGAGTAGGCCTCCAACATGTAAGTTACCCTCCCCACCACCAAAGTGTTGTTGATTTCTGAAGTGCTAACGTTGACTCGTACCATACATTGATAATATTTAACCTTAACGTGACTAAATGTTAGGTAGCTGTTGTGTGCATAACCATCCATTAGCTTAGTGGATATTGATTTTGACTTGTCCTCCTTGCAGATCCAACCAAGTTTTTTGGTTGTGAGCTTGGTGCGCAGACACAGTTTGATGCAAAGAATGACCGCTTCATCGTCAACGGATCCCATGAGGCGAACAAGTTGCAGGACATGCTAGATGTATTTATCCGGAAATTTGTGCTGTGTCCTGAGTGTGATAACCCTGAAACCGATCTGGTAACTATTTGATTAACATATTTGTGGTGGATGTTTGGGTAGTAGAGGGGGACAGAAATGAAATGTGTCGAGTGCATTGATCTGTAGGACTTTGCAGTTGTAATTTGGGCGTTTATACCAAATCCACAGATGTTGGTCAGTTATTTTCCCGGTAGTGTTTCTTTTTGTCATGTCATTATTTCACTCTGTGTACTGTTGTATCAAGGTCCCTCCTGAGGCTTGTAGATATGACAAAGCCCTGGTCAGGTTTTTGTATATAGATTTATTTGATGTCCTGCCAACCTTGACTTGTGCTAGATCTGCCATTTTGGGTTCTGCTTGTGCATGACCAAGCCATTTGTATCTCATTTTGTATGCTACATACACTGCAGTGACAGATCAATTGTCTTTTTCTCCTGCAATGCAGTTATGGTCTGTTGGGTAAATTATTACTTGTCTATTATAGGTGGTATATTCACGGTCATTATAGTGAATATGCTAATTTGTTTGACCTTTCACTGCAGCATATAAATCCTAAGAAACAAACAATCGGTAACTCCTGTAAGGCATGTGGGTACCGTGGCATGCTAGACACACGACACAAGCTCTGCACATTCATCCTCAAAAACCCACCAGGTAAGCACACAATAAGAATTTGCCCATGATCGATTTGTTTCCTTAATAATCTAAAAGTCAAGTCAGATATGTGGCCTATTGAGTGTCAAAGCGCCGGTGGCTTTTTCATCAGAAAATGAACCTGGGTCTGTGGAGAAGAAGAAAGATAAGAAGAACCGTAAGAAGGACAAGGAGAATGGCTCTGGCAGCGGAGAGGCTGGGAACCATAACGACATAGATGCCCCTGATGCCGTGGTGAGTATCCTCATTAATGTATGCAAACCATGCCAGTTGTTAATGTTAGTGGTTGAATAGGGGGAACAAACCTCCATCACCCGCCTCCAAGCTATTAATGGTCTGAGGGACTAGTTTGTCGGTAACTCCAGCCTGTCCGTCTAGCAGCATTGACCCAGTGAGAATATGTTGTGATCAGGACGGTGATGATGATGACGAGGATTGGGCAGAGGAGACCACAGAGGAGGCACAGAGACGGAGGATGGAGGAGATCAGCTCCCATGCGAAGAACCTGACACTCAGTGAGGATCTGGAGAAGACCCTGGAGGAGAGGGTGAACATATTCTATAACTTTGTCAAAGTAAGTTGTGCCTGAAACTAATTACAAGGATAATGAAAGTTGGTGATCGATTGTGAAATTCTCTTTGACATGGGGTAGGCAACCCTGGTCCTGGAGTGCCATAGATACTTCATGTTTTTGATTTAACCAGACCAGGTGTGTTGCATTTAGTCAATCATTGAACTAATCAATTAGTGTAATTGGTCTGGTATGGGGCCTAGTTGGGACAAGATCCTGCGGTAAGGGTGTGAACATTAAAACGTTTAAACGAAGTTGGGATCCTTAACGTTAAGAAAAATACCTAACCGAAAAACAATGTTTTTGTCCCCCCCCCCCCAATTAAAATCACAGTGCAGTTATTCTTTTCTGTGTCAAATAAAACCAGAGGAAGAGGAACTTTAGGCTGTTTTGGTGAATTTGCAAGATGAGACATTGTGAGATGCAGATTACCAAAACATATGAGCATGCTATTTTTGCTCTGTCTTTTCACTAATGATGCAAATGTGTGTTCAGTCTTCTGTCTGTTGCGTGTAGAATATTTTAACCTATTCATGGCACAGATGCCGCCGGGATACAGCAGCATCTTCAGGACAGTCTTGCGAGCACAGGGTAGCCTACTCTTCATTTTTGCCTCATAATCTGAAATTACATTAGGCTACCGGTAGCCTTTATCAATTACCCTTTTCAGACATAATTGAATGTGGCCCCTTGAAAGCATGCGGCTACGGCATGTTTGTCTGTTAGGGTAGGCAACAATACGGCTTTTTAAATGCTGACACGAAACCTTCTCTGGAGATATGAACGGACATTGTACTTGTCTGTAAAGGAATGAGGCTTCTGAAGTGGAACTAATGTCCATCACTAGGTGACCAGAACTCTCAATCAAATAATCTTGAGTTGCTGTGTGCAGCCTGCCTGCTGCCTTGCCAGACAATCTCGCCTTAAAAAGTACTTTTTAAAGTTGATCAAATACTGTGATGTACCAAGACATTTAGTAGAAATAAAACCTCTAGCTACCATGCCATAAAAATTTTTAAAAAACAGCAGCACATCAATCAGTGACGTTTATTGTTGGGGAGAAAATACAGAATTTTATTCGGAGCATTTATATATAAAAAAAAAAGTCTGCGACGTTAACAATTGTCGCTATCAACATGTTATTGTAGCTGCGTTCTATGTCTGTAAAGGCTTGCGGTAGATATAACTTCATTGCCTGGCCCTAGCGGTCATACATGGGTAATAGAACCATTATTCTGCATTGTAAATTGATGTGGAATTACATTTTTTCTTAGCGTTTAATGGAAAACGAAGAAGGAAAAATGGCAGTTTAAACATTAAGCTATATTGTCCATTTGTCACGTCCCTAACCTGCGGCACTCCAGGATCAGGGTCACCTACCCCTGATATAGGGTAACAATTAAAGATTTAAAATGTTTTGACGTGGACCAAGAAGTGTTTCCTAGCGGTCCTGTTCCACACTCTGAAATCTTTGTGTTGCTAGGCTTCTTGGGGGGCTATTTTGAAGACCTTGGTGTTAAAAGCTTTCTCGCTGTGGTTACTTTTCCCGCCTCCAGCAAAAAAGGGAGGACTGCACTGTTGACGCAGCAGATAAGGAGATCTTGGCAGAGGCAGAGCGTCTGGATGTGACGGCCATGGGACCGCTGATTCTAAGCGAACTACTGTTTGACGAAAACATCCGTGACCAGATCAAGAAATACAAACGCCATTTCCTTCGCGTGAGTCTTCAAACCCACATTGTTAAGTTTGACCTCTGTCATAACCTCATAACTCAGTGGTAATGCGTTCAAGAGGGGACATTTGACCAAAACCTTCTCAGATTGATCATGGTTTTGTTACTTCTCCTTTTGTCTTCAGTTCTGTGTGAATAACAAGAAGGCCCAGAAGTACCTCCTGGGAGGCTTTGAGTGCTTGGTGAAGCTGCACCAAGCCCAGCTGCTGCCCCGTGTGCCTGTCGTGCTCAAAGACCTGTATGATGCTGATCTAGTGGAGGAGGATGTCATACTGTCCTGGGCAGAGAAGGTATGTGGTTAAACTTATACATTGCTTGCACACAAACTTCACACTTAAATAAAGCTGAATGTCACACAGATTACCGTAATACGTAGGTTCTTGTAAAAAAAGTTTGTCGTTTAAATTTCTGTTTGCGCCGTTTTCTGTGAGACTCGTTGCTCATGACTGTCTCTTTCAGGTGTCCAAGAAGTATGTCTCTAAGGAACTTGCCAAAGAGATCCATGCGAAGGCGTCTCCTTTCATCAGGTGGTTGAAGGAGGCGGAGGAAGAGAGTGAGGGCAGTGAGGTAGAGGAGGAGGAGGATGATGAAAATGTGGAGGTACTGGTCAGACTGTCCCCTGATTTCATAGCTTGCCCAGTTTATACTGTTTGAGTTGGGCTACTAGGATATGCTTAGTCAAAATTGCAGCTAAGACCTACTGGAATGTAACAACTTATTTCCCCTCACTCTCCTCAGGTTGTATATGATTCTTCTGCTCGGGAACTGAAAGTGGAGACCGTAAAACTGAACAAGCCTGACGAGGAAGAGGACGACTTTGATATTGATGCAATTTAAACAAGGATGTCATTTTTGAGAAGCTGTAGCTTTGAATCACATTTTCTCATCTTGTCAAATCACCAGCCCTCCTTTCCTTTTCTCACACCCTCACTGCTTCCTGGCATGATTAACATGGCGCAGTGCATATTTCCTCTAATTTTGAGATGTATCCAATCTGAGATATGGGTGGGTTTTGGGGGAATTACTTTTCCATTCTTTTTTTGTCATTAAATGTTTAACTATCCACAACTGTTGTATTCTTTTATTTTTTCAATTGAATCAGATAAACAAGAACCTTTCAATTGTTAGATGGTGTTCTTGATATTGTCAGATCTGTGGTGTGTGTAAACCGTACATAACCTTTATGGATGTCACTCAGTACTCAACACACTCAAATGGTATTCCCCTCTTGACAAGTCAGCAGTGCCATCTCGGCAGATTTTTTAATTTTATTGTTACAACTTTTTTGAAAAATGAGAGCACAGAAAATAACACTATTATATATGAAGCTCATCAGGGTGACCCCTTAATTGTATTCAGTATATAGAGATGGCATCTGTATCTAATATGGCTATTATATAGGCCTACCTTACTTGGATGAGGCAAATATACACTGAACAAAAATATAAACGCAACATATAAATGGTTGGTCCCATGTTTCACGAGCTGAAATAAAAGAGCCCATGTTTCATACTCAGTTTTTCTCTCATTTTTGTGCACAAATTTACTTACATCTCTGTTAGTGAGTATTTCTCCTTTGTCAAGATAATCCATCCACCTGACAGGTGTGGCATATCAAGAAGCTGATTAAACAGCATGATCATTACACCAGTGCGCCTTGTGCTGAGGACCATAAAAGGCCACTCCAAATTGTGCAGTTTTGTCACACCACAATGCCACAGCTGTCTCAAGCTTTGAGGGAGCATGCAATTGGTATGGTGACTGCAGGAATGTTCACCAGAGCTGTTGCCAGAGAATTTAATGTTAATTTCTCTACCATAAGCCGCCTCCAACTTCGTTTTAGGGAATTTGGCAGTACATCCAACCGGCCTCACCACTGCAGAGCACGTGTATGGCGTTGTGTGCGAGTGGTTTGCTGATTTAAAGGTTGTGAACAGAGTGCCCCATGGTGGGTTTATGATATGGGTAGACATAAACTACGGACAATTAACACAATTGCATTTTATCGATGGTAATTTGAATGCACAAAAATCCCGTGAAGAGATCCTGAGGCCCACTTTTTTAAAGGTATCTGACCAACAGTTGCATAGCTGTATTCCCAGTCACGTGAAATCCATAGATTAGGGCCTAATGAATTTATTTCAATTGACTGATTTCCTCATATGAACTGTAACTCTGTAAAATCAATGAAATTGTTGCATGTTGCGTTTATATTTTTGTTCAGTTTATTTTCTTTATGGGAGGGACCTACCATCCAGCCATCACCCAGCTACTTTTGGAAGCATAAGCTCTGACTCATGGTTTCTGTAGGTAAGGCATGAACTTGTGCACTGAAGAGAAGGACCTGTTATTTCCTATCTGTCATTATTGTGAATCACTGAGCGGTGACCGCGCTATCGCTGGCTGTATTGCGCTCCAATGAACGCTGAGGGCCGCTTGTTTCCTCACTTCCTCTGCCGTTCTGACAGGAGTTGGCCCGATCCAACAGAGCCCGTGAGTAGCCATTTTGGTCCCACCTAAAACACTAGCCTCATTCGGAATCGGAGATGGAAGAAATAGAGACGACAGCGAGTAAGAAAGATAAACGCTATTGAAACCCAGGAATAAAGACGGACATCAAGGCACACAAGGATTCGGTTACAAAAAGGAGCGATTTTGGGATCGGTGACAACAACCATCTGGCGTCCCCTCTGTCCGAGTGCTATTCTAGCCTAGATTGGAGCCAGTCTCTGATAATTAGTTAAATTTAAGAGGCCATGTATGGCATTTTGCAAATAAATATATAGTTTTATCACGCTTCATTCTCAATATAAAGGACTATAGGCCGAGTGAGCGTTATAGGGAAATAGATGTCATCATTCAATTTTGTCTGCGTCCTCAGGACACCTTGAGACACATTTGGATTGGATGGACCGATGTTTAGACAGTTTCCCGAATCCATGGTTTTGGTCCAGAAGCAAGAGTACAATCGCCACCCCTTGTATTGCCAAAGAAGGTGCAGAATTTAAAAATCCGGGAAATAGAGGCAACATTCATCGAGAATAAAATGTCAACAAAAACTCCACTACCTACGGTCAATGAGAAAGAGACGGAAAGCGTAAGTAAACTGTTATTATTAGGTAGTTAGAGGTGTATTGTGTCTGACAATACAAAGTAACCACTCTCCCTGTTCCATTGTATCATACCGTTTTACATAGGCTACTGGTTACATTGTATCTGAGTGTTCGATACATTGTGTCACGCTGGAGATGGGCAAATGTTCGGCTAAACAATCCTCTACTGTGCACGCCCTGGCTGTAAACTCCTATGTTGCCTGATAGCACGACAGATGCTGTGTTTGGTCTGTGGACAGTGATAGATACTCATTTGTATTTCCATCCAAACCTTACCTGTTAGAGGACTGGTTTTTAAAAGTGTCGGTCAATTGAGGTGCCAATTGCTCGCCTTCCAATGGTCTTACACAGTTCCCACCCCTTCCAGTTCAATGACAATCGTCTGTCAGTTTTCATTCTCGTTGAGAGTATCGGGCAAGCGCGAGGGGATCTATGAGTTACCCCCACAAAAACGAGAGAGTTATCTGGTTAAATGCCATTCAAATCGCCAGCACAAAAATGACAGGGTCTCCGTTGATGAAGAGACACCCCATCAGCATAGTAAGTAACGATTTATTATGAGAAATCTCTGCAACTCTAGACTACCTGGAATTTTCATTTTGCTAAATGAGGATGAAACTCTCTTGGAATGTCTGTTAGTGAATTTGATCATTTCATACCATTGAATGAAGTTGCCTTCATCCTCTGTATCCTCATCCATTCAGGTTAATCGGGAATTTATATTATAGTGAAGGAACATACCCTGAGTATACAAAATATTAATTACTTTTTCCCTGACAGACTGACCAGGGGAAAGCTAAGATCCCTTATTGATGTCACTTGTTAAATCCACTTCAATAAGTGTAGATGAAGGGGAGGAGACATGTTAAAACCTATTAAGGATCAGACCCTTTTTTCAATTTTTGCCTAAAATGACATACCCAAATCTAACTGCCTGTAGCTCAGGACCTGAAGCAAGGATATGCATATTCTTTATATAATTTGAAAGCAAACACTGTAAAGTTTGTGGAAATGTGAAATTAATGTAGGAGAATATAGCACATTAGATCTGGTAAAAGATAATACAACAAAACAACATGCGTTTTCTATTATTTTTGTTGTTGTATCATCTTTGAAATGCAAGAGAAAGGCCAGACAGTGATGTAGGATTCTATATATAGTTTAGATGTTGTCCACCATATGGCAGCAGTGTGTGTGCAAAGTTTCAGACTGATTCAGTGTGAAGTTTTCCCAAATGTGCCGAATTGGTTTTCAAGCACATAACTATAGAGAACATACAAAAATGCTATGGTAATACAAAATTTAAGTTTGCACACTCCCAGGAATGTCATAAATGATGGATCATTAGCTTCCCTACAGAAAATACACTAACCTTCACACATCTAGATGGCCAGGCGGGGTGGGTGTGGAGTCAGATGTCAAACTGTAGAACCCAGTTCCTACATTTGAAAATAAAAATTGATTTTTCAAACAAAACGACACTACATTCTATCACTGGGACCCTCAGGATGACAAATCAGAGCAAGATTACTGAATGTAAGTACATTATTTACCTTCAGAGGTGAATGTACCAAACCAGTTGCCGTGATAAAAGTGTTTTGTTGTTGTGCACTATCCTCAAACAATAGCATGGTATTTTTTAGCTGTAATAGCTACTGTAAATTGGACACTGCAGTTAGATTAACAAGAATTTAAGCTTTCTGCCCATATAAGACATGTCTATGTCCCGGAAAGTTGTCTGTTGTTTACAACACCATTCTAGTCACATATCGCATATTGTGCAACAACCGTCCCGTATAAGGGACACCGACCCCGTAGAGGTTAAAGAAGGATTTTTAAGCCTTGAGACAATTGAGACATGGATTGTGTATGTGTGCCATTCAGAGGGTGAATGGGCAAGACAAGTGCCTTTTAACGGGGTATGGTAGTTGGTGCCAGGTGCACCGGTTTGTGTCAAGAACTGCAACGCTGCTGGGTTTTTCACGCTCAACAGTTTCCCATATGTATCAAGAATGGTCCACCACCCAAAGGACATCCTGCCAACTTGACACAACTGTGGGAAGCATTGGAGTCAACATGTGCCAGCGTCCCTGTGGAACGCTTTTGATACCTTGTAGAGTCTATGCCCCAACGAATTGAGGCTGTTCTGAGGGCAAAAGGTGGGGTGCAACTCATTATTAGGAAGGTGTTCCTAATGTTTGGTATACTCAGTGTATTGCCAGGTAATAATAGTTTAAGTGTGACCTACTTAGAGAAGGTTTATGAGCGAGTTGAATTGTTCTCACATTCAGAGGCGTTGTTTAGGTTGTTGTCTAGGCTGGTAGTGGATCACAACAGAAATTAAAGCATGTTGCAGCGATGGGACAAGACTGTAACTACCAATTGGATATCAAGAAATTGGGGAGAAAAGGGGTAAAAAAAATATTTTTAAAATCAAGAAATTAAAGCATCCCTGCAAGTGATAACAGCACTGTAACCCAGTGTTATGGTTGGCTTTACTGGAAGTATAGCCTGGTCCAACAGACTGACCAGCACAGCGATCTGTCTGGTTTACAAGGTTATTGGATGTCTGCTGAATCTAGTGCATTCTTACTGGTAACTTCCTGATCAATGCAAACATCAGAATCTTATTAGTCTATGCTTTTCCTTTTCTTCCAGTTCAGCGCTGTGTATGTTTTCCTACAACTGAAACTGTCTGTGGTGTAGCTGTGCGGCCAGGGAACC